AAAATTTAATAAGAAATTGCTTTCATTAGAATGCTGGCATTGGTTCAAAATGAGCTTCTAAGTTCAACTCCCAGGATTGTTTCCGCCTCATCCGTACAGTCCCCACCAAACTTTTCGCCGTCACCTATATTTTCTTACTCCAAACTTTATTTATTTATTTATATATTTTGATTTATTTATCTGTTTTAACAATGAAGTGGGTGTTTGTGATTGCTTATAAAAATAAGTTATTGACTTATTTTGATGTGACATTGTTAATAAACAATTTTGAGTGTTTGGATGAATAACTTATACCGGTGTCAACCCGGTAATATTTTTTTTGAAGAAGTTAAACTCTTCTGACAGTCTGACTTATAATAAATTGATAAGTGATTTTATAGAAAAACATAATTTGCTTCAAATAAGCAATCCCAAACACCCCCTTATTATTTATTTATTAAATATGTGTATCTTTAAGGTGGATTAAAGATTCGTGAAGTCACAGTTTGATTCGGTCAAAAAGTCGATACGATTTGATTGGGCAAATGTCAATTATGTCGATTTAAGGAATAAAATACATTTTTTTATATAGAATCGTACTTTTAAGCAAGACACGATACTACGTCTTAGGCGTAAGTCCAATGTGTTTTTAGCCGAATTACACCGCTTTAAGGGATTTTGTAAGTCTTTTGGTTTCGGTTTTTTGATCGATTTCGAGCGACTTTTTCCATTTTTTTGGTTGATACCCCATTGTGTTTTTTAATATCTCGGAGGACTGTTCAAAGTTTAACGAATGCATCTTTCATACCCCTAAAGAAGTTAAAATCACGTTCAAATGACATGTTTGAAAAGTTTTGAACTTTTTTTTTATCATAAATAATAAAGATATTTGATTATTACGTCGATTAGATTGAAAATGTTAATTTAGTGTGACATAAAAGTTGCATAATATAATACATTGCGTAACGTGTACTATAATGCGTGATCGTGTAAGAATATAAGTTAAGGTGAAAAGCGTAAAAAAAGATCTAAACCTTTGATCAATTTTAATTTCAACTCCCATCTGTGAATTGTGTTTATCACAGGAATTGATCCAGTATGTCTTTGTGCACCGCTTTAGTGTTGATCTTAATTAAGATTGATACAAGAATGGAGATATCTTCTTACCATTCTCACCATAATTTTCATCATCACCGAAACTCAACCATCTATAATATATTATAAATATATTTCTTTAACTATAAATAAGTAGTTTAAATGATAAAAAAACAACCATTTTAATATAAACAATCGTTTATCTTTCGTAGAAGTTTTGAACGACAAAATCTTATCTAATCACGAATTATCTAAATAAGAAATATTTGATATGATATAATAATATAAATTCAATGATTTAATCACATCATCAAATCTGTATGTATACAAAAAAGGAAAATCTTGGGGGTATTAAGGTGCCACAATGAGAATTAGGTATTCTCAAATGATAAATTATGGTTGAGTTTTAGTTGTCCCACGTTGGTAAAGAGTTGAAAGATTTGAACAACGGAAAGTGTATAAGAAATGTTGATTAGATGCCTTTGTGTCAAATTATGGAGTTTGCATCACAAAATTGTCTTATTTTGGATGACCCTCTTTGAAATTTATAACCATAGTGGGAATTAAAAGCAACCAAATGATAAAAATTATAGTGCAAATATAAAAGTGAAACCAAAGATGATGACTTGATAACATGAGGTTTGGTTGTTCCTTAAATCTGAAATAAAGTTGATTTTCATCATCTTACATTGGTAGAAAGATGATAGTTTGGAAGAAGATGATGAATATATAAAAGTGTGATGAAGCTTTGAAATATATAACAATGGTTGAAATTAAAACCAACCAATCGATAAATTTTTTGTGCAAAAAGAATGCAAATGATACATTTTTTCTTAACAAAAATTGTGATTATTGTAGTACTTATAATAACAAATGCAGTTTAAATGTTTATTATGTCACTTATATGTATGTATAAATGTAGAGAGGTAGAAAAAAATGAAAGTGTTGACTTAATGATGTGCTTTCATATGATGTTAGTATCATCCAAATCGTGATTTACGGTGTTGGATGAGACACAATCCAGAGTTTTCAGACACATCGCACTTCGGCCCGAGTCGAGGCTTTATGTTTTTTCTTAAGTTGGGTTTTGATCACCATATAACGTGCGGTATCGAACACTAGTTCAAATATAATTATAAAACAAAACATAATGATAATTTATAACATCCATTTTTGGACCTAAATGTAAAGACTAAGTCAAGTGAGGGAAAGAAATGGACTTAAAAGGGATAGTAGTTCAACAACTCTTGAAATCACATCATGATAATAAGCCATAGAAAGAAAAAGAAAAGACTTGAAGTGGGATTCTTACATCCCATATTTAATATGGATTAAGACATTTTTCTCATTATTTATCTGATATTATAAGAAAGAATCTGATAAAGATATAACGTCATTACTGGTAACTTCTTACTACACTGCATTATAAACATTATAGGGAGGAAAATCATGGTGTCTCAAAGATAAGTGGATGGTGCCCAGATTCGAACTCAATCCCTGCTTATGGATTTCCATCTCCTTACTGCTTGGAAAATTTAGCAGAGACAGTAGAAACCTAGTAAGAAAGCAATGAATATTGGAGGTTTAGTGTGTTCATAGATCAAGTACAAAGCAAGAAAGTAGCAGAAAGTTTCTACAAGAAAATCGACTTTTACGTTAAACTTTTGTATTTGATATTGGTTTTGTAGCATACGATGTCAATGAACTGCTTAATATAAATATAACTGAAAAAGAGACTTTAAGACCAATGGTGGATTCCAAATTTTTTTCTAGCGGGGGCACTTTTAAGTCGTCCGTCATGTGTTTAGCCTAATTCCACGAATTCGAGGGATTTTTAAAGTTTTCTTGTTTGATTTCAAGGGATTCACTACAACAAAAAACGAGTTTATAGGATGCCACCAATTTATAAGCGTCTTAATAAGTTGTTTTATAGGACTTAACTTTTATATATAAAGTGTTTTATCTAAAGACGTTATAATAAGCTCACATGGCGCTTTTGTCCTATACAATTTTTAAGGACACTTTTAATACAAAACGTTACATTAGCAAATTTAAAGGATATTTTTGAGAAAATGTCCTATAAACTTATCTTTTTATAAGACACTTGTTTTTATAGGATATCTTTTCAAACCTTGTCCTATAAAATTGCTATACAAATATGTTAAAATGCTTAAAGACGTCCTATAAACTTACTAGAAAGGTATTCGCACAATGCAGTGATATACATCTAGATTCTAATATTCCCTTTTTTTTTGTCTCAGTTGATGTTATAATACAATTTTATGTGGTTTTGAGAAAGCGATAATTTTTTTATTTTTGAATAAAATATAAATATGAAAATATATCATAATAAATTGAAAAAAATATTAATATTAGTACCAAACTACCTATCTAAAATTTTACCTTTTTTGTGTATTTCTTTAATTTTTTTTATTTTTGGTTTAATAATATAATTTTTATAAAGATAATAATTAAGTATTTTGTTAGAACTCAATGATTATCTTAATTATATTTTAGATGTTTTATAGTTAAAGTGAGATGTTTATCATCTATGTGATTATGTTTATCTACAGTTAGTTACACGAATTCAATAATGAAGCTTTAATAAGTTGTATTTACGCATAATTTACTTGTAATCTTGAACTTTAAGTATTATACATCAATAACCAGTACTTCATGCATAAAAATTGGTTTTTAAGAGTTTTTGCAAATGCTTTATAATATAGTATAGATTACAACGCTTTTAGATAAGACGTTTTATCTTTTCGGTCCTATAAAGCGGTCTATTATATAAACCCGATTTTGTTGTAGTGATTTCAAAATTTTTTTAATCGATTTCGAGAGACTTTTCAGTTTTTTGATTAATTTCGATAGATTTTTTGTTTTTTTAGTTGATAAGGTCCCAGACGAGAAATTACTGCATAGTCGAAAGTTTTAAAAAAATGTTTTTAACCGAAGAAAATTTCCTTTTTTTTTTCATTTTTTAATGGGGGCCATGCCCCTAATTACATAGTAAATCCGCCCCTTCTTAAGACCATGATAAGCAAATATACAACTTTTATGTTGTATTGAATTCAGAAACATTTATAATGTTTGTAAATTTCATGAAAAGCACTCACTCAACAACATAAGGGAGATACGATGTTGTTGTTGTTGTTGCTGTTTTTATTTAATGTAAAAATTAAGATGTTTACTGTAATTTTCTGAGATAACTTCAACATGATTTTGGTTTTAAGTACGTCAAAATTGAGAGTGTTTGAAATTGATTCGTATAAAATCGATTTTGTTCTCGATTGAAGCGATTCTTGATTTATCAGAGTCGAGAGGTTTGTCTAAGGTTTTTATTTAGACATAGTTTTAAAATACGTCTGATAAATGAGATATCCAGTCCTTTACAAGACAACCTTAATTCACTCCCCCAACCGACATGAGACCTTACAAACATGTTGCTTCATCATTGACTTTAAAGCCATATATTGAACATAAAAATTGCATCAAACACGATCTTACAAACATGTTGCTCCATTATGTTTGGTTTGATAGACTTCATGGATTTGAAATCCCGAGATTTCATTAAAATCTACAAAAAATAGAATTTTGAAATCACTTGGGGTTGGTTGGTATTTCATGGGATTTTATAAAATTTGTATATAATAATGTTTTAAAATACGTCAAAACATTTGTTTTGTAATAATCAATTAATAAAAATGTAATTTAATTATTTTTATAATTATCTATAATTTGTTTTTATAAATTATTTATAAATAATAAAATTCAATTCCATTCCAAATCCTCCAAACCAAACACACCAAAAATTCCAAATCCAAATCCAAATCCCTCCGATTCTAAATCCTTTCACGAAATTGAAATCCCTCAAACCAAACGGACCCTTGCGCTATAAAACCAACATTAATACAAATGTTTAAAAACTACACACCGTATATTTAATCGTCAATTTCTCATAAACTGTTGGTGCCCACGTTTGAACCCGAGACCACCTTTATAGATGCGCACCATCCTACCGCTAAGGTAACAGGCAGGACAAAACGGACAATTGGAATACAAGAAAAAGGGCACCTGAAAATGCAATCGAAGGGTATTCTACAACAATTATTCTCAGTACATATATTTTCTTAGAAGATGTCATACGAACGGCTGTACTGTGTCAAGCACGTACTAGCGGTACATTGAGCCGTGTAACGGTTCAACTGTCGAGTTTATTCAAATACATCGTGACAACATTGAAAACATCACTCAAACATACATATCAGCATCACCATGACGATGAACGTAGCGCCATGCACCCATATATCCTGCAAACAAAAGATTATGAGATCACAACATTGATTCATGTAACCAAAAGGGTCGTTAGCCCATCAGTACTGGGTTACAAGTAGAGCCCAGTATCCCAGAAGGTCAAGGTTCAAATCTCGTCAGAGATGAGGAATGTGCGAGAGTTTTGACCTATATAAATATTATATATACTTCCAAAAACATAGGTTCATGCATATCTATATGCATCGTATATGTGGTAATTAATCTTCTGTTTCATTATCTGCAAATGGTTTTTGTTGAAAAACTTACAGAATGGGGCGACGGTCCACCTCTGGTTAGGACCCTTCTTCCACTCCCAGAGAACGATTTTGGTGCCATCATGTACGCCACCGTGTTCTTTATCACCGTTAAATGCATCCACATTAAGCTTTATGTTATTGACCATCCTTACTGCATGATAACCATCACCCAAATCCTTGCTCTGGGTCCAGAGAACAGATTCATCAAGCTTATCTGGGTTGTATTCAGTCAGCTGAACCTGCAGAAGCATTCACAAAGGTCATCCACACCAGTAAATCAGTAATCAGAAGCCTGCACCTTATATGATCAAACAAATTACTTCACACCATAGAATGGCAACACATGTTCAAATGAGAACTGTAACCATTTAGGCTGCCTCATAGAATAGCAGCCTAAATTTCTTTAGTCTCTTTCCGTGTATTGAAGTAGTGTTACTTGCTGGTGTGGACCATTAACCATTTAGAAGACAAGAAATTTTTGTGGCATGCTTATTGATGCATTCCGGATGATTTACATGGCAACACACATCTTTGTGATTTGATAGTTTATCTAAGAGATCATCTATCACTCAAGCAAGGCCAATTAGAGGGCACTATTATACCATTATTTTGCCAAACAATGATCAGATTTCACATCCAATTCTTCATTGTTCTGAAATTATTAGCTAATCCTCCTTACCACTAGATACCAAGGATTAAGTTGATCTCAAAAGAAAGTTGGTAGGAATCAGCATAGGCTGATATGCATATCATGCAAGAATGATCTTTAACATCACACCCTCATATGGCTAGGCTACAGTTTCTTAGAAGCAGCATAAGTGTTTTAGATCAAAGATCCATAAAAATTACATAAAGAACAAGATTGACCAGATATCTGAGAGATGCTTAATCCAAAGTTCGCTCTTTGACCTATCAGACTTTTAAAAAACAAGATTGACCAAGAAGATATCTGTATATGCATGATGTATGTATTTCAAAACATGGGTGTTCATCACTACTGGGAAAAGAATGGTAAAAGTGACTGCTGATCAAAACTTGGGAATCAGTAACTCAATATGCGTTATAAAGAACATTGGTACAACTACTCAGTAAGATATTTGGAAATTGCTTTCGATCGGAAACCGTTAGTGACCATCTAGATAGATCATCATCATGGTTCAATTTTCAAATAACAAATAAAGATTTCTTTCAATCCTACCATATACCCATGCATATTTCTACTGAGAAAGCTTCAAAAATTCCAAAATTGACAAGCTTTAGACACATTTTGAGCAATAACTTAATGGGAAATTAATAGAAATAGCCATTTTGAGGCCCTGTATTATCTTTTAGCTATTTCTCTTCCCAAATGTCAAATATATCACTACCTCCTTCGCAAGGGGCACCTCCTCTCAGAGGGGTCAAAATGTAAACAAAAGTTTATGAACAGATCCACAAGTGCAGGTACCAATTTGTAAATTAATTAAACGTCCATAAGTGGCACTTCTACCCCGTGAGGAAGTGTTGAACTAATTTACAGATTTCGTCCGATACTTGAGGACCCGGTTCATAAACTTCTTTTTTATACATTTTGATCCCTCCACAAGTTGCTAGCTGCGAAGTAGCCAATTTTTGAAATATTGGGAGAGAAATGAACAGGAGATGAATCCAAAATCTGAAAATGACTACCTTAACTAATTTCCCTGATTAATTCCCACTAAAGAAATCAAGAAAGTTGAAGTTGAGGAATAGAAGACATACTGGATGGGTGGCACCAATAGAGTGCTTCATTGCCTGTCCAGTAGCTTTGTTGACCAGAGCAAAAGAGGGATAACCCTCTTCATCTTTCACTCTCGTGCTAAACTTCTCTTCCTTTATCCAATGCTGCATTAAAAAATCAACTAAAAAGTCAACGAAAATGGCATCAGGAGCTGATCTGAAAAAAGTAACCAATTTACATTTCCAAGATTTCTTTAAAATCAAACAAGTAGATGATGGTACCTGATGATGATCAGAAGGGTTGGTGGGTGCAAGAATGACTTTACCATCACGGATGGTGAGTGAGTAGTCAGGCTTGGCCTTGCTGTAAAACCTAACGGTGGGTTTATTGTCGGTGTACTTTGGTGTATGGTGGGTGGTGTGGTGGGTGACATGGACAACAGGCGGTGGTGGTGATGGTTGATGGTGGGGGGTGTGGTGAGAGACATGGACTACAGGTGGTGGTGGTTCATGATGAGGTGCAGGTTGGTGGTGGTGGCGAGGATCCATTTTGTTAGATTGATTGGGGGTTTGTGGTGGAAGGCTTTAGTTATATACGGAAAGGAGATTGATGGGGTAGTTGGAAGATCTCGTCTTCTTGGCCGGTGGAAATTAATATGGTCCCCATCTTCAATTGTTTTTCCAACCTAAAACTATACTCAAAGTAACACGTTTTTTTTTTTTTTTTATCAACTCGTATATCCAACCCACTATGCAAGCCGACTAATTTCGAGATGATCACCTGTTTTGCGGGTAGCCTGGAGTCAGCACATCTGAACCTCCAGACCACAAGGGATTTTTGTCCTTGAATTTGAACCTGGACTTCCATATACCTTTGAAACCCAAACTCAAACCAATTAAATACCAACCTTGTGGTTAAGTAAACGTCATTTAAAACAAAGAAAATAGATATATTGAGAATTTTGGATTCCATCCTTTGATATAATCTTTTCTTGGGCTAAGGATTTCTGAAAAAGATTGTATTTTTATCTTCTCTTTTTTAAAAATACAATCCTTTTTTAATCCAAAACATAAAGAATCTTTAGATGATATTCTTAGGAGAGGGAGGAGCGTGGCATGTATAATAATTGATGAAATGGGGACAGCATAATCAAACCCACAAGTCCCCCTACACGTTTACAAACTTTTAATCGACAAACTCCCAGAACCAGAAACAGAACTATTCCAAGTCTTCTAGAAGTCCATGCCTTAATGGCTAAGGTTATGTTTTTAATAAATTCTCATCAATTAAATTAAAATTTATAAGAATGAATTTGAATCGTGTATATGATACCATATTTGCATCAAATGTAATTATGTATTATCTTGAAACTTCTAGAAAATTGATCACCTTCTCGTTTAAATTTGCATCTACGATGATAATTTTTAAATTATATGATTTCAGATAAATACTTTCAGGTGAACTTCAATTAAAAAGTAAATGGTAGTTTTCAATGAAGAATTGTGTACAGAAGTTGTGACATGTTCTCTTTTCTCCACGAAAGATAAAAAATTCAATGGTTTTAAAAAAACTTCATATAAAAACTGACCTGAAGTTTGAAGGCGAGTCGATAATCGTCATCAAGAATTACGACCTGCTGCATTTGTTTTTTCAGTCCTTATTCGATGGTTTCACTCTTGGCTTGCCGGCCATCCAAGCTTGCAGCCTCTTTTCTATCTCAGGCTCAGGTAGTAAGCCTTTTGCCTTCATTTCCAAATGATATTTGTATGCTTCTTCCAACATCCCACTAAGAAAAAGCCCATGAATCAGTGCCACATATGAACTCCGATCAGGGTCTAGCCCATTGCTGATCATCTCATTCCAGAGCTTCGACACATTTTCCAGTTCCCCCCAATGACAGAACTTTCTAATCAGCATGATGTAGGTATCGTGATTCGGGCAACACCCCATTGAAGTCATCTTTTTCAACAGCGAAAAAGCTTCTTCCCCTGTTCTTGATGCACGAAAGAAAGCATGGTATGTTCTAACCGTAGGCAACAACCCTCGTTGCAGCATTTCATCAAACACGTCACGTGCTTCCAAGATTTGTCGGCATTTACAGAGAGGCATGATCAGCGAGTTGTAAGTAATCGCGTTAGGAGAAATTCCTTTTTGTTCCATTGATTTCATCATATCACGGGCTTTTTCTACAAACCCGGCTTTAGCAAGAGCATGAATCATACCATTGTAAACCTTCCTATCTGGACTAATACCAGTGGCTTTCAACTCATTGTAAATCTTTATCACCTCTTTGGTTTCACTGGACTTTGAATAACAAGTTATGATGGTTGAATACGATATAACATCACGATGAATCCCTCTGTTACACATCTCCCACCATATTCTCTTTCCCTCCCGAGGACTAACAATGATATTGCACCATCCATTGAGAATGATGTTGAAGCTCTTGGTAGTCAATGGGTAAACATCTTTGTTACACAACATCAAATTCTCTGCTTCTTTCACGTTTTTATACCGGCAAAGCGCAGACAGAAGATCATGAAATGCATCGATACCAACCTCAAAATTAAACCGTTTATAGGCATAAAAGGTGTTGATAGCCTTGCCCACATCATGAACAGCAGAATACCTCCTGATCATGATCAACAATGTCTGAGGTGTCACCATTGATTGATCACCATTCTTTCCACCTCTCTTCATCTCATCAATCAAGGTCCAAGCAGTATCAAACCTTCTCATTTTACCCAAGATGGCGATCATCGAATGGTATTGGCGCAAAGAATGTGCATAATCTGGTTTCTTGTCAGCCCACAGGAAGAATGTGAACGCCAACTCCCAATGGTTTTGCACCTGAGAAAGAACTTCTGTCACCAACTCTGGCGAGGCGGACACACTGGATTTCTCAAGATTGTTCCTGACAGCAACACAACTTTGGCCAGGTTGCCTGATTATATCCATTATTAATCCAACCTCCCTTTCAAGTTCAGATTTTTTGACAGAATCTTTGAACAGAACTAATCTCTCCCCATGATTTTCTAACTGATATCCATCGTGCTCACCATAATTTTCTAATTGGTCTCCATCGTGCTCATCGCAGTCTGAATTTCCTAAAGTTGTTGAAGTTGAGGAAGAGAAAAACATTGGAAAGCCGGAGGGTTTGATCGAATAACTATTCAAGGGTTTGGGCGGATTAAGATGTTGATAGAGAATTTGGGTTGAGCAAATGCCAGCATGATAAGTTCTTGAACTGAAATTATTGCGATGTGAAAGCAATAAAAGTGATCGCGCAAATTTACTTCTGAAGTTCCACATTCTAAATCTAAGCCTAGTTCGTTTCAGTAACAGTAAACGACGTTCGGTTTTGGGAAATATCGATTCGCAGAAGTGGGTTTGAGTCCAAGAAAGCAATATGCATACATGAGCAGATGAACTAAAAGAAAGAAAGGCAACACATACCAGGTGTTTGAGAAAATGCCCCAAAAGAGAGTCCACCCTTTAAACAAGTTTTATTGCGACGTGAATGTTGCAGGGGGTTATGGAGCGTATTGGACTCTTTGTCGTTCACTTTTTCCCATATACACCAAATAACAAACTAACCCCGAACCAAATTATGTATACAACATGAATAGATGCTACCGACATGTCAAATACATCGTCAAACAAGTTAAGGAACGGTTTTTCTATCATGTGCCCGAGTTTGGCACATGGGATAGATATGAAAGACTCACTATCTCATATTTGACACGACATAGAACAAGACAATAATTCATTGTTCTATGTTTGGTGTGACATGGAACATAGACAATAATTGGGACAAGATGGGATAGCGTGGGACAAAAAAAAACTTTTTCTTGTTTCACCAAAATAGGTGGAAAAAGACGAGACAAAAATGAGATATGAACTTAAATATTACTAATTAGCCCTCGTTTGATATATAACCTGGTGGAACAAGATGAGACAAAAATGAGAAAGAAACTAAAATAGTACTAATTAATCATCGGTTGATATATAACCATAATATGATATTCTTTTTGGTGGTTATCATCGCTAGTCGCGGCCGCCCCAGCCACCATCGGCCACCTTCACCTCCTCATCCACTACAACGGCCCCTCCACCACCTCCACAACCAATATCGATGACCAACCACCATCACTATCACCATTGGCTACCTCCACCTTCTCCTCTACTACAACAATCTCCTCCATCACCGTCGGCCACCAAACACCATCGTTCACCGCCACCACCATGGCCACCTCACCTCACCATAACCACCACCATCGGCTACTACAATCACTGTCAATCACCATCATCTGCTACCACTGCAACCAGCGGCCACCACCATTGGCTACCACTACCATTATCTACCATTTTCACGTCCTCACAACCACAGTCGGCCATCGATCACCACCGTTCATTTGTATCACCACTAGTACCATCGGCCGCTACTACCACCTCGATCATACCAACACTACCTTCGCCAATTGGTAAGGATCTTCTAAACCGTATAAAACATAATTTCTCCTTTTGTATGAATCGTGTTTTTTTAAACCACCATTAATTATATCAAAATTTCGTTCAAATATGATACTATTATACATACTCTTATTTTAGGGCTTTTTATGCATAGTATGAAATGACTCCAATGAAGTTATGAACCTAATTGCTTTCCCATGATCATACTTGTTTAAAAGAGATTTCATGAGGATTTGCTTAAATAGTTGGAAAATGCTATATGCCATACACATGAGGCATTGTTGACCTAAATATTTATTGGAATATTTATTGACATATGATAAGCATATTGGTTGGACCACTAGTTTAATTTCGAGATGTAAAGTATATGTTATTATTTAAATCATGTGAATATTCCTATTAGTTGTAGTATGCTTGGATGAACCTTTCGAGTAGGCATCAGCAGAGTTGAGTCCGAAAGTGCTATCTTGGTGATACACCAGGATCTCCGACGCTTGAGCTAGTGCTTGGAGGTAATCCCTAAGTGTGTCATCCCTTGAGGTATTACCCGTGAGGGTAGACACTAAGGCAACTGTCTCTTGTGGTGAAACTTGTTAAGGTGATACGGGTCTGCCTCGTTGATTCCAAAATTATGTTATAATTGTTTTAACTAATAAACTGTGATTGGTTATTTTATGTTCTAGCTCGCTAGGTTTTTTTTTTTTTTTTTTGGCATAACACTTATTTGGTATCGACATGTATCTCAGGTACTAGTGGCGTGGCCACCAAGAAGGTTTGACTGGCTTGTAGAGTGAACTTAAGGTGCATTTTGGGGCACTATAAAAATGTTGACCTTTTGATGGTTTGAGATGACGCCCGATTGTAATCTAGTTCTTTAAAGATTAGATTAGGAGGTTGTTAACCTTAAACCAATTCATTTACAAATTGTAATTTAACTGATGTATTTTGTTCCCTTTTTTAAGATAATGTTTTACATAATTTTTTTTATATCTAAGACTAACATTTAATACAAAATGTATTGATCAACATATATTTGTTTTACAATGTATTTGTTTTTCTATGTATTCGATTTACAATATGAATTTTTTTTACATGTGACTTTTGTTTTGCATACATGGCAGAAACTTTCACATTATGAAACAAATATATATCAACTAACATTCTAAATTATAGCCTTAAATGAAAAAAAAAATCATATGAAATAACACATAATATATTGGTTCTTTAAGGTTCACACAATTTCATAGGTTATAAGCATATACCCCTTAAGAATGTATGTATATAGAGTTTTCATATAATTTTAGGGTCAGTTTGGTATTTATTTATAGTGTGAGGGCTATAAGTGAAAAGTTATCTCTTTAAGTCGGTGATAAGGTGCGGTTTAAACGTTAGCCTAATAGCACAACTGCGATCGGATTACGTGAAGAAGGGTTTCAGTCGAGCAGGTTAGTTCCCAAAATTCGTCTTGATTTCTAATCTGAAAATTCTTCTGGATTTGTTGCATATAGATTATCACATCATGAATTCCAATCCCCGGAATTCACAGATCTTCATTCAAGCCCCAGATCTTGAAATCCCAACTCGTGCCCTAACCCTAACCCCTAATCTCACCATCCATCACCTCAAACAATCGTTTCTTTCCCAGATTAGTCCGATTCATCAAACCCTTGCATCCTCCACTTTCTTCACCTTGAACGGCCGTCTTCTTTCAGATTCCGATACCGTTGAAAAAACTGGAGTCACGAGTTTGTCGACGCTCAGCCTTAGGTTGCGTCTTTCTGGCGGGGGTGGTGATGGAGGCGCTACGGGGGCGGAGTCTCGTGATTGTTACCTCAACATGTATGCTGAAAAAAAGCCCGATAAGGTTGATCCAAACGAGCAGAGATTATCGTTATTTATGAATTGTGCGTTATCGAATGAGCCTCTGAAGCATCCCATCGTGGTCGATTATTTAGGGAATCTGTTCAATAAACAGGCTTTAGTGGAATCATTGTTGATGAAGAAATTGCCTAAAGCTTTTTCCCATATAAAGGGTTTGAAGGATATGATCGCAGTCGAGCTTGCATCAATACCTGGATCAGATTCTCCTAATGGCGGCGAAGTGAAGTTTCAATGTCCGATTACAGGGTTGGAGTTCAATGGCAAGTATAGGTTTCATGCTTTGAAAAGTTGTGGGCATGTGTTAAGTGCCAAAGCATTGAAGGAGGTTAAATCTTCTTCTTGTCTTGTTTGCCATAAAGATTTTGTAGAATCTGATAAGATCGTGATCAATGGGAACGAAGAAGAGGTGATTGCATTACGAGAGAAGATGGAGATGGAGAAGGTGAAGTTGAGAGAGAAGAAGGTGAAGAAAGTAAAGAATGGAGGTGGTGTTGGTGTGAATGGAGAGATGGGTGCTTCTAATGATGGAGTTAAGCTAAGCGGGAGTAAGCATGGGATTGATTTGAAGGCAGCTGAGAAGGTTTCAGGGAAGATTGAAACAAATGGGAAAGTTGTTAATGGGAAAAGTGAAGGGAAAAGATTCAAGGCGGGCGATCGGGCTCCTCAACATGCAAATAAGGAGGTGTATGCATCTATTTTTACATCTTCAAGGAAATCTGATTTCAAAGAAACATATTCTTGCAGATCTTTGCCGCTCGGAAGGAACTGAACGGTGGTATCCTGATCACGGTGGTTGTATTTTTCAGTTCATGTGAAAATTGCTAGCGATTTGGGTGTTTGATGTGTCGTTGTACTTCATTTTGGTTATATTATTGTTCGACATTAATCAAGAGGTGTCACTTTTTGAAATCATAAAACTGCATAGTAGTCTTGTTTGAAGATGTTGAAGCAATCAATCTGCATATTATGCCTGGCTTTTGAAATATTTATGTAGAATGTATGCTGCTGCATTTGATTTTGTGGGTTCAATTTGGTTTAATGACAGTTAACAACTAGATAATGTTTGATTAGAGAAGTATATGTCCAATTGAAATTAGCATGGTGTGGTTCATGTTGGCGGGGTTGGTGCTTGCATTTCTTATTTGGGCATTTTATCATTACTTTTTTGAATGGCAAACAAAATCGTGCACATCTGCAAAGATTCTCACGTTTACCACGTTAGGTTGTAGAGATTGTATTGGTATTGTTAGGCCAAAGATCACTTGGTCTTTTTAACGAAATTGACTGAGTTTAGATGATATTATCTTTTTACTTTTTAGCCAACTTTTTCATGTTTGAACCAAAATAGCTAAGATTTCATAAGCATCTCTTTTGCAAGTTGCAAAATGTATTTTCTTTGAATTAAAGAGGGTTGGCTTGCAAAATTGACACGGCGGCTTGCAAAATATCCTTTTTGCTTGGGAAATCTCCATTGTGGCTTATGAAATGACCCACAAGAATCATATTTTATTTATAAAAAGTATATTTGGTTGATTTGTGAAATTTTGGCTAGTTTGGTCAAATTGTAAAAAAGGTTGACTAGAAAGTGAAGATGTTAGTTCAAAATGGCTAGTTTGGTCGATTTTCAGTCTTTTTATCATTCCCTTTTTGGTTTAGTCGTATGATACAAAAAACCCATAACGTTAAGACATACTACTCTACTTGGTTTATATGACTCAAGCTGTTATTCCAATCCTATTTGAGTTGACATGCACAAACGTTCATGTGCTAAAAATATGTAGTATGTATCATATTTAACGTCAAGTTTTATCAGCATTGATGTCTAATAAATTTTTAACAGAAATTGCCCTTGTATCATCAATTCCATATCCCCTTGTGCTTATGGTGAAGGATACAAGCAAGGCTGCTGCAGAAGGTTATATAATACTTGTCAACTCGTTTGCTGTCGAACTTGGATGTGTTGCCACAGAAACTGTTTGTGCTTAAAGGCTTCCATTTATGCATTAAGCTCAAAGTGCCAAAAAGAAAATTGTCTTTAGATCTAGCTCCAGCTGCTTGGAATACACAAGGCATCTTCCATTCAGCATATGTCTTTTGTTTTTGAGTTTCCTTTAATCATTTGTTTTCAATTGACAAGAGTTCAAATAAGTGTTCAAAGTGGTACAATCGCATTGGGGGCGACTATCAGACATAAACAAATGAACACAAATATTCCTTTAGACCAATCTTTAACAAAATACAATGCACCGTACAATTTTAGCTAAATGAATCCTTCTTATGTCTCAATAAAATTAACCCAAAATTTCATTTCTACCAAGAGTCGAGAACTCAAAAAATAATAGCTAATGATAGTGAAAAGAATATTTTCTCAAGAGGGATTTACCGACTGTCTGGCTGGCTGAATCCATATCCACCACACTTCACCAGGTTACATGCATGATCGAGCCAAAATGTAGTAATAGTAGTAGTTAGGCGGCTGCTGACACCGCTTCAATTGCACTGCCCAATGGCCAAGCAGCTTCAACCAATGCATTTTGGTACTCGATCTTTTTCACCAGTGTAATCTCTTGCCATGGATCCAGGTCTGTTCAATAACAACACAAGCAATTAGATATTCTTTTTGTATGTATTGTTTATCTTTTCTTTATTCTACCATTGCAAATGAAGGAGGGTTGTTAAGAAGGCACCATAGTTGGGTCCTTATGTGGGTATACCACTTACCAAAGCCATCTACAAGTAATGTGTACTGATACACAAGATCCAAACATAAGTATGGTAGGTTGTCATCAGGTTTCTTAACATTAGGATATGTAGACCTGGCATTCTCAAGTGTGGTTTCACAAGCACGCTTAGCAGCCTCCTGGAAATCTGCTGGACGAACTATGGCTACAGGTTTACTTGGATCAACAAAACCGGCCTACATGAAGAGATAGATCTCACTAGTTAATATGTGTTGAAATTAGCCCTTGAAGAGGGGGTTAAATTTTCTGATTTTCCAAATCTTTTTTAAGGATATTATGTAATACCTCAGCAGCCCGGTCGAAGAAGAATGAAGCCACAAATAGATTCTTTTGTCCATCACCACCCCCACCATTCCACACCCCACCAAAGGTGCATTTCATGTGGGTGCAAGTTGATTCATTAACTTTAAGAGCTTTTAATGCTTCTTCCCTGCACTTGTTCATGTTTGAACCAGAAGGAGGAGATGAAGCTTTGTATTCTGTTCCTCCATATTTATAAACCCCTAAAAGAGAAGATATGAATAATGAATTAATATCCAGGTGGCTAGGGAACAGGTGTTCCAATCCAAATAACAGCTCACCAAAGTTGCACATCATACTATTTTCCGAAATACATTTAGTATTTGCAACTCAAAATAAAGAAGACACATAAAATGACTGAACATAACCATTTTTGGAACTCAGTATCCTCATTTGTAGGACCACTAGGTGGCTTAATAAAAGATATGCAGAAGACTGAAATACCAGAACGATGCAAGGCAAAGCAACATCAGTGCTAAGGACACTGACTTGAGCATACCATTATAGCCAGCCAAGATGCATGGATTGTCGGAATCTTTTGTGACTTCCAGGATCTCAGCTCGAGCTGCTAATAAGCCATACTGCAAGTAACTGTGAGATGATACAAGAAAGGAAATTAAGTAGAAGTAGAGCAAATCAATATAACCACAAATGCAGAAACAGCCACAAAATGAAGACACTAAAGCAGTGGAAATAGACACTAAGTAGCCAATAATCCAATTTGATTGTAATGATATGTAAGAATCTTCTTCTCCACATTAGGGGCTGGACCGCCTGGTGTGGGGAGTCGATATCCATATAGAAACAATGAAGATATGAATCAGTGTAGATTGTAGTTTATAGCCTTCCTAGCATCATATGATACTGGTTAGATGGCCTACTCTCTCTTAGTTCTCTGTTTATGGTAAATAGAGTGTTCTGATAGTGTTCTATGTTCTTGATGTCGGCTATAAAGAAAGTAAACGTATTTTCAAACAGGGGTGAGGGAAATCCGTTCTACCTTCTCTCACCTACAAAAGAAGTATACAAATATATACATAGGGTTGGGTTCCAGTGAGAAGGAGAGTTAAGGTGAGAAGGGTAAGAAGGGATCTCCATCCTTGGATACACATTAGGATGAGATGCACCGAATCAATCCCCATATCAAGCACGACTCATGGGTGGGTTTGAGATTAAAGGTGATCAAGGGTCCACATCCCTTCTTACGCTTCTCACCTTAACTCTCCTTCTCACCCGATCCTTTGCCTATATACATATACATGCATATATATACACACACAAACCGAGAGAGAGGGATGAGGCAAACCTGTGAACATAAAGGTAATATTTAGTTCCCATGAGAAACATTTCCTTCACATATGTATCCTCTCCATTTGATATCCTTGGAGCCTTTGCAGCATCTGCCTCTGAAATAGCATATGCCATTTGTACTGATCCACCACCCAGATCAACTACCCCAACAGTGTCTGAATATTTCTTACCTAATCTTTTTAACAGATAATTTATGGTCACCTGTAGGTATGATACAGGTTTTATTATGCAAAGCAAGAATATGATATGACAAGGAATGTGGTGTGCTTCAAACCAATATAAAAGGAGTTTCAGGTTAATCCTGGAGACACATAAGAGCTCAAAAACAAGACCCTAATGCTCACTCAGGAAAAGAGTTTACACACACACACACAAACATGTTCCTCAGTCCATTTTCTTAAGCACAAAACATGCATCTTAAACAACTATTGACATTGCAGCTTCTTTCACATTTTTTCATAAGGAAAAACTTATTTAGTCAGTAACCTGTGTCTAAAGCACCCAACCAAAATATGTCATTGACATGTATTTTCAGAATGCATGAACAAACATGATATTGGACCAACACTTATACTAAGAAACACATACATTTACAAGGATGTAAGAAGTAGCTAGCTTACCCATTGATAAGCACCTTCCTGAGTTCCATCCAGAACAGTTACCCAATCATCATTCGACTTGAGGCTGCTCTTAACTTTTAGAAAATCTTTCACCTATATGTATGTAAATTCTAAAATCAACTAATAAAAAATGGAAATCTTTGAATAGGAGGAAATCGTGAAGGTAAGAAAAGAAGTTTGCGGAAGAGTAATATTTACAGCTTGCAAAATTCTTTCAGATGCATCAACTCCCAACTGTCTCAGGCCTGCAGTTGCCTGCATAGAGATGTATGATTCAGGATATGCGCATACAAATCTAACAAAATACAGAAGTTCTATTAGTCATACGAATCACTAACCCCAACTTTGACGGGTGTATTTTGGCGCACATCTTTTGGAACGACCTTTTCTGCTTTCACTAAAAGAGGCAGAAGAGAATCTGCAGCTGCTTTAGGGTCGTTTGCATATGCACTCAAACCTGGTTGCAACTACAACATAGAAGTATCAAATTTCATCTTAGTCCTCTTTATACAACAGGTAAATTAGAATGTCAATAACAACCGAAAACAAATTTTTATTGCCTTAAAATGCCAGGCATATTTCTTAAGCCTATTTTGTAAAAATTGTCTAGAAAGAAAGCAAAACATATTTCCTTGTTGTTGGGGTTGAAACTCCATCCAATGTTTAACTAGTTAGCCTTGGATCTAGTTGGTCTATTCGTTTGATGATCCTAAGACTTATTAGTTTAGTACACAGAAGCATGACCCAGTTTTTTTTTTCTTTCTATTATGAGCAATTGAGCATCTTATTTGGTCCAAGATAGAGCTAGTAGACGTGCATACATAGAAACTAACACACGAAACATTAAAAGTACTTTTGATCTTCAATGTAAGTTAATCAAATGGCCTAATGCCAAATACTGCATGCACTAAATGTTGGTGATTAGTATCACTAATATCATTTAAGTGTAATGGGATTAATTTGTTGACCAATGTAATCATGATAAATATCGAACAAGCAAGGAAGGTGCGGAGTGCACACTTGTTTGAGTTTATTTTGATTTAGGGGCGAAGCCCCTAAACGACGGGGTCCGGGGGCAGCGCCCCCGGTGGCGGGGTCCAAGGGGCAGAGCCGACTTTGTGGACAATGCATCAGAAATCCGAATTTTAGATTTTAAACCCGGTTTTAAAACCCGACTTTGTGCGCAAAAAACTGCCGTTTTTGACAGTTTTTTCACGTTTTCTTCAATTTTTCGAATTGGTCTTTTTTCGCGGATTTGGAGAGGGTGGTACACAGATTTCATAACAATCAGAGATTCGAAGTTCTGTCACTGAATTTTATCCGATTGAGATTTCGATTGTACCATCGAAATACTTCAATCTGAAAGTGAAAAACGACTTTAAGTGGATTCCAAGCAAAGATTTCTAACAGTAAAAAGAAGCAGCTAGCCGGTCCTATTTTCTGTTCTTTCCACGCCATCTCTCTTTGTTCACTGTTACGATATTATCTATTTCGATTTCTAAACGAGACTATAGTTTATTAATACTGACCAAGCGTATTGGTTGATAAATCTGAAATAATTGTGCGTCTAAGAAATAAAATTACCGTATATGACTATGCAAAAACTCGACAAAAAATGGGGCCTTTAAGTACCTGCTCAAAAAGCTCAAGCTCTTTGCCAATGTGTAGAAGATCCAAATTCTGATCGAAACAGAAGACATGAACTCTACTCCCCGAACTACCTGCATCAAAAATCACGGCATAGCTATTCGATGACCGATCCGTCTGCAGCACGTAATTCGGCGTAAACTTGCGGTTCGTAGGCAAAACAGCATCGTTGGGAGAACGCGTGGAAGGCATCAGAAACAAAACAAAGGAGACGAGGAGGAGAGGGATCGAAATGACCAAAACAACCCCGCGGTAGCGATGGATTTTATCGGAGAGGGACTCGTTGTACGGCTGTTGACGATTGCGTTTCAGCATTTTGTCGAGTTGATCCGCCAACGGTGGCGTGGAGAAGACTTGACCTTCTAGGAGCTCAGCGGCCGAAGGAGATCGATACCGGATCTGACCGTTCCCTGCTGCGGCAGCTGAAGGAGGCTTCACGGACTGATGAGAATTCTCCTGTACAGACTCCAGCTCTTCTCGATTTGAAAAATACACACGCTTTCCGATTCAAATCAATCGATCAAATCTCAGATCGACCGATTTCCTCAAGAAAAACTAGTCGTCACCACACGAACCGACACCGAATCAAATTTACAACCATATGAAATCAAGATTTGATCCGAGAACAACAATGCCGTCGCGTTTCTCTCTCTAGAAACTCCTTTTCCAATCGGAGAATTTGTTCGAGAGTACAAAAATTCACAGCACCTATTTTATAACCTGTTAACTACGCGAGCATTTTGAGTCTAACCGCAGCAAAGGCTCGCACGCCACGCCTTTACGTGATTTGGACAAAATACACAAAGCAACTTTTTTCTTAATATTATTATTAGGGTAAATTACGGATTTGGTCCCTGTGATATGCACATTTTTACAAAATGGGTTCTCATGCTTTATTTATTACGTAGAAGACCTTATGGTATGCACTTTCTATTGGAATTGGTCCTTAAAGCATAGACCAAACGGGCTGTTTATTACTTCTGTTAAGTCCAAGGGCAAAATGGCAATTTGTTATTCTTCTTTATTTTAACATTTTTTCCTATATATATATTTATTTATCTATAGGGACATGAGAGTAGTCTATTTTCGTAACCACAAACTAACACTTGGAACTTCAAACCAATATATTGTGAAGATAAAAAACTTTGAACCTTCACAATATTTTTGCTGTAAAAGTTTAGTTTTATTTAGGTGGTGTCATGGGTTTCACGAAAATAGATTGGTTTGAGTTTCATATGATCACAAGTCTCCCCCCCCCTCTCTCTATCTATCTATATATCCATACTATATTTTAAAGCATTTGACAAAAACTCTTAAAAACCACTTTTTATGCATAAAGTACTGTTTATTAATGCATATTACTTAAAACTCAAGCTTGCAAATAGATTGTGCGTAAGTACAACTTATTAAAGCTCCATATCTGAATTCGTGTAACTAAATACAGATAAACATAATCAAATACATGATAAACATCTCTTTTTAAATATAAAAAATTAAAATATAATTAGGATAATCATTAAATTCAAACAAAATATTTAATTAATATTTTTATAAAATTTGTAATATTAAATCAAAAATAAATTATTTTATTATTAAACTTCGATTAAATTATAATAAAAAAATAAATTAAAGAAATTACATAAAAAATGATAACTTTTAAATAGTTGATTTGATATTAACATTGATATATATTTTTTTCAAATTTTTATGATATTTTCAAATTTATATTTTATTCAAAAATAAAATCATTATTGCTTTATTAAAAACACATAAAATCGTATTATAACATTGACAGAGACAAATAATAAAATAGAACATTAAAATCGAGATGTGTCTCGCTGCATTGCTCGAGTACTCTTATAGTGTGTGTGTGTGTGTATATATATATATAGGCGAAGAATTGTGTGAGAATGAGAGTTAATATGAGAAGCTTTAGAAATGATTTGGACGCTTGATCACCTTTGATCTCAAACCCACTAATGAATTGCATTTGACACGGGATTGATCTTACGCATCTCATCTTAATATGCATTCAAGGGTGAAGATCACTTCTTACGTTTCTCACCTTATCTCTCTCTCTCTCTCTCTCTCTCTCTCCCTCTCTCATATATATATATATATATATATATATATAGTAAGTATTTGAGAAGTAAAACAGTGATCCTAGCCGTTCATACGATCAAGATTGGTCAAAAATTGTGTATTTGACTGGTCAAAGGTTGCGACTTTGTCTGGTCAAGATTTGCGGTTTTGACTGTTCAAACAAAAAAATAGAGAAGTAGTTTCGTAATTTTTACAAATAGACGGCAAGGTGCATATGTGAATCTGCAGTTCATATGTGAATCAGTTAATTGGTTCATATATGAATCACATGGATTCACATGTGAATCAGTTAAATAATTTTTATATGAATGATGCGGGTTCACATATGCACTTATTTTGTCATCTATTTGTAAATGTTACAAACTATCCATCTATCTTTCAGCATACCATGCAAGAAATTATCCGGTGTTTTACAGTCAAGCTGCAAATCTTGACAAGATGAAAGGCTATGATCACTTATCAACTTCTCAAATGAATCTATGGTTATATATAACTTCTCAAATGAATCTAGAAAAGATCAAAGATGTTTGTGTTTCACTGTTCATGTTTTAATGTACACATTTCGGCCCTTGATTTAAAAAATGTTCATGAAAAAAGTTAAAATAAGGAAAAAGGGTAAAAAGACTATTTTGCCTTCGATTTTAATGGATTCGATAAACGATTGTTATGGTGAAGGACCAAATCCAACAAAAAAATTCATACCACCAAATATTCTATTAATAAATAAAGTATGAGGATCAAATCAACAACATACCACAGGGACTAAATCCGTAATTTACTCTTATTTTTATTATTTCAAAAAATTATATTAATTACCTTGTTTTCATCTAGTTATTATTATATTAAATTGTTCGTACAATTTTTTTTGGCTATTTTATCCTATTTTCTGTTAAATACATTTTTATTCTTTTATTAAATAATTTTTTATAATAATATTTATATTAAGAAATATAGGTAAAAAAACATGACCATGAAAATCCAAGGTTTTCAGGGGGCGTGGCCAAGTTGTATTACAGCTCACACTCAAGTTGGGGTCGCGAAAACAATTATCCACCTAATAACTGGGTGTTCAGATTGTTTATAAAAACAATTTATTGACGTATTTTGGTGTGACACTGGTAATAAGTACTTTTGAGTGTTTGGATAAACAACTTATAGCGGTGCCAAACAGGTAATAAAGAGTTTTTAAAAAAGCTAAACCCTTTCGACTTATAATAAGTTGATAAGTGTTTTTGTAGCAAAGCATAAATTATTTCAAATAAGCAATCTCAAACACCATGAGCATATTTTTGATGAAATTGATGCTGAATTTTGTTGTATTTTAAGCATTTATGAATTCTGTTAGGATCGTATTTCTTGATTTCCCTAATCAAACAAGCATCAACACAAGACAAAAGAGTGGTAGCAGTTAAATAGATTACATTAAAGTAAGCATTGTCAACTTCACAAGTTTGTTCTTGATCAATAATATGCTATTAGGGGGTACACAGGGCAGAAGTACTTTTCTGGTGACCGGATCGCCGTGTTTTCAGGCGGATTTCTGCTTCGAAGGTGGTGGAAAGACAATACGAAAAGCCCATCCGGCCGATATTGCCCCCATGAACGGAGCAATCCAGTAAACGTAAAACTGCTCCCATGTATTGTGTCGATTGTTTACGTACGCCCATCCGAACGCCTATAAGAAAACAACAAACAATCATTGCAGAGTTAGGGGTTGTTTACTAATTACAGACTGTCTTTTGCTTGGTAAGAAATGAGATTGTTTACCATACATTTTGACATCCAAAAAATACTGTGAGAATATGTAGAACCTTATCAGATTACTTTAATGTTACTACATATTCTCAAATGATATCAGAATCAAGGTCTACCAAGAGTAGTGAGTTTCAGCAACATGTTTTTTACGATGAAATGTTTCAGCAAGAAGCTATTGCAACGACATGTCGTCTCTTATAAACCGTCTATGGCAATTAGCGACGACAAAAGTCGTTGCTAAAACCTTTGTTTCTTGTATACTTTGTGCCTGCCTAGCCTCCGTTGGAGGAGGAGTGTTGGACTCAAACATCTGCTAGACTTGAACTATTTCTCTTTCAGACTCTTTTGAAGGGTAATCTATTGACTGGTACGAAGGAAAGAGTCTCGTACTCGGTCAGCACTCAGACATTTCATTCAGACCGCAATATTACCCGGTTAGTCAGCACTCAGACATCTTATCCGGACTGCACTATTACCCGGTTGGCATAAAGCAAAATTTATAGCTTAAAAGGAAGTAGAGAAAAGTTAATGAAGGTTACATTGGCAGGATTCATTGAAGGACCTGTATAGCCTCCACCTACAACAACAAGTGTAACAATGGAGGTGGAAAGCATCGCGTTCTTCATAAGCACGCTGTTAGGTCCTCTAAGGATAACGTAGAGGACGGCAATGGTGCTCGTGAAGGTCAACATGCCTTCAACAATGGCGCCCGTATGCATGTCGACTTTTAGAGAAGGTCCTCCTAACATATGTTTATATTCCCGCGGCATGAATTCCAGAATCGCAAGAGCACCACCAACAGCACCAACAGCCTGCAAGAATTTTCCATAGATTTTAAAGCATTCATCGTCAATTTGGAGTTCGAAATTCAGCTGAACTGAATGACCTCAACCGTACCTTTTGGGGATCCAGAAGGAAAAAGTTTAAATGAACGTACACGAAACGAATCTAATCTCAAAACTTAACTAATTTGGACTGGTTTATGCATTAATTAAATCTCTGTATAATTTGCATCCCTATTTACGTATTGCAAATTTGCAATTAGTTGTAATTTGTATATACCTGAGCAGGAAATCGAACTGCGGCGGAGATGAGAGAATCGCCGCCGAGGCCGACGGCGTAAAAGGCAGCAGTACCAGTAGGATTAAAACTAGCGCCACCTAAGGCATCGCCGATCATACCGAAGATGAACAATAGGATGAAGACGAGGGAGATGGTGATTAAGATTGTAGCCATTCCTTTGACGCCGATGGTTTTAGCTATAACGGAAGTAGCAGCACCAAGGGAGGAAGCACAGATCACCCATAAGAAAGTCAAAACACCATCACCAATTGCAGCCTTGACTAGTCCCATATCTTCTCCTCCGATTCACCGGAAAAGCTGCAGAAAGGAGTGGAGTTGGCTTTGGAATCTCCGATTGCACTTATTATATAGACACCTATGGCAGTATAGAAAGAAGAGGTGTGTGAATTGATATTTAACGAAAATGGTAAAATAATGATGAGTCATGAGTGTGATCGACCAACCAACTCGAATTTGCAAGTTTGGTAGAGTTGAGGTACATCACTAAACAACTGCAATTCTTTTAATAAAAAATTAATTAAAATAATCATTTTTATTTTTATCGTATGGTTTTATCTCTTTAAGTCATTTCATTTAGAAAAATAACATTTCCTTTGCAACAAAATTACAGACCTAGCTAAACGACAAAAAAGTTGTTATTAAAAATTGCAGACGTGGGTGAAAAATGTAGCATTTTTTTGGGACGTGAATGAAAAATGTAATTTTTTTTTTGTCGTTTAGCTAGACCCGTAAATAATCGGCCAAAATGGTTAGTTTAATTAATTAAAGATATGTGAGTTTTTATTACTTAAATCTGTTGTGAATTTGTGATGGTATTTTACATGCACAATCTATGCAAAAAAGTGTAGTAAAAATGAATGTCTTTATCAAATTATATTTTTATAGTATTTATTAAAATTTATATTCATGCAAAATCAGATATTATGGTTCGTTTTTATAGTTTTGAAATTGCAACATGGTTATTATGTTTTGCAAAACATCTGGATTTTATTCTTTCTTCTAACAATCGTTGTAAAAATCCGTTACATAAAGGATATTTTCGTCTTTTTATCAATTTTTTTGTTATTTATCCAATCAAAAACCATAGAAACCAAAGCATGAAATCAACTTTGATTTATTAAAAATAAAAAACTGGTAAATGACGAAAATACCTCTCATTTAACAGAGTTCTTTAACAACCGAAAGAAAGATAGACTAAGGGGGTGTTTGGGATTGCTTATTTTATGTGTTTTTTGACTTATTTCAGTCTGGCACCGGTAATAAGCTAAATGCTAGTGTTTGGATGAGGAAAAATAAAACTGCTTATACCGATGCCAAACTGGTAATAAACAGTTTTTGATAAGTTAATCCTTTTTGACTTATGGAAAACTCCTTATTATCAGTTTACTATTTTAACCCTATTTTATTAATGTTTGTTAATTATTAATCTTATTGATATAAATTTTCGTCAAAGATATTATTATAAATGATGAAAAATTATTTTTACATGTTAAAAAATCAAATAAGTTAATAAGCAATCTCAAACACTCCCATAAGTCAATAATATGGAAGATTGTCTTTGGTCATTTTACATATAAGCAAAATTTGTTAAACACTAAAAAACAACTTATCAATTTATTGTTTTTTGGTATCGTTATAAGCTAATCCAAACACTTTTTACAGAACTCCGATTTGATACCACATAAGTTAATAAACACTTTTACAAAAAAACATAAGTTGTTTTAAATAAACAATCCCAACCCCCCTAAATTTAAACATCTAATTCTAAAACCGTAGAAACGAAAAATGTTGTTTTTGAAAAACCACTAAGACCACATTTGTAATTTACTCTTTGCTTTTTTGGGGGATGTCTTGTTTTGACTTTGTTCAGCTACTAAAGTAAGATGTCTCGTTTTGACTTTGTTAAATAGAAAATTACTCTTTTGCCCATAAGTTGGTTTAAAAATAAACTTACAAGTAAATAAACAGTAATTTTAGGTTTAAATGTCATAAACACAAAATTTTACACACTGCAAAACTCAAACTGTTTCCATAATAACCCTTTGGCTTAATGAATATAATTTTGCCATAAAAAATCAGAGGAGAATTATTAATAAAATATTTAAAAGCAAAGAAATATAGTCTAGAGTTGATAATTGGCAATAGCAAGATTTAACAGACATATACAGGAGATGCTGAATGCTGATGCTGTTCAACATTCAATTCAGCTAAAAGGGCTTATTGCAGAGATTTGCAAATACCCATTTTTATTTATTACTATTACTACTACAAATCTGATGCTATTTCCATATTTATTTATTATTTATTACTCTGTGGCCTTCCCTTTGCGTCTGCTGCTGGTTTCCAGAAGATAACAAACCATGGAATCAACATCATCACCAAATATGCTGTAAGCCTCCATTGCCTGCAAATAGCTGAATCCCATTGACAACACCATCTGCATACTGCTACTGCTGCACAGCACCTTTCCTTCACTCTCACCTCCAGATGCTGCTTTTTTCCAATTACCATTGGAATGGAATGGAATCAGGTTTGAAAAGATGGGAAAAGAAAACAAGATATATAGTTATATACTACTTACTGCCTCCAGAAGATGATGGTTCAGCACCAGATGTTGAAGATTCTCTTGGACCAAGTTGCTGTTTGAACTTATCATTTGCCATATATTCAGCCCTTGAAGCTTCCATCACCATACGTTCGATTTCTTTCTCGGTTAGCTCCACATCTGACCAAAGAAGAGCCTGTATTCATGTATATATGTTAGAATCTGCATCTCATTTCATCAGCAATGTCTTAATATCGATCAAAATAGCATAAAGGCTACAGGTGGTTGGTTACGTTATCCATCTGTTGATCTTGTTGAGCTTTGATTGCTGCCTTAACTTTATCTTTATCAACGTTCGTCTGAAAACCAAAACCACAAACATATTCAAATGTCGTAAACTTATATTCCTATATTACCAAGAATCTACATTCTTGAATGGAATTACAGATTCTGAACCATTGGCCTTGGAATTAGTATTTGCAGCAAGTCAGCAACCATCATGAAAGCCGGCTTGAAAGCTAGTTTTGAAGTGACTTCCAAAGTGGAATGTTGTATGTGACCTCCAAAGCTATCGTTTTTGGATATGGGCTTAGCTTGAATGCGAGCTTTTAAGCTAGCATTCAAAGTGACTATTAGTTCCAGTCTTTCAGACGGGTTTTTCTTCTATCCCACTTTGTTCTTCATCTTTTCTTAAGGTTAGATTAGATCATTTAGTTGTTCCAACTCCGGATTCGAGCTACAGTTTGTATTTGAATTAATCTTTTCAGTATCTAAACGGAAGTTGTGCCTTTTGACTTTGAATTATTAGTCTTTGATTTCCGTTTTTCCCAAATCTATGAGATTAAAACAAGATTTATCGTTATATAAGAAATGTTTAAATGAAGTCGGTGGACTTACCCCCTGCAGGCAGCTAAAACCAAGCCCGGCACCTATTGTCAATCGGCGAGGATCAACAAGAGAATTGTAGTGGTTGCCATGATGGTAACTTAGCCGGATAGGAGGCGTGTCTGTATTATAGCTCCCATGGAATATATTGATAGGCTCTGCAACCACGCAATTTTTTTGTAAGTCAAATGGATGAACGTAAAACACTGTTTCTTTTTAGCAAAGTAATATAGCATCATAATATACCAGTGCTATACGAATAGATATGAATAGGCCGATTATACATTTCACACAATGCTTGAATCTCCACATTATTCCCGTAGACCTGCACTCAGTAATGATAAACAATAACTATCTAGAAGAAAGAACATCACCACGGCAGGTTCTAGAAGATTAGAAGTTGCATATATAAAATCTACATACTTTATCCCGTCTCTTCCTCTTGCAATAAGAAGTGAAACCTTCTGTTACAAACTGCGAGAAATGGTCTCTCTCCCGTTCCTGGATGAAGTAAGAACTTGTTAGTTCATCTTTCAACAAGAACGACAGTTTTTTTCAAAGGATTAAATGGCAATGCACATGGTTTCTAAACAGCCATAAATAAAAGCTTCCACAATCACATATTCTCCGTGTGAGCTTTGAAAATGGTGATTTAATGTATATATGTATTATATATGTGCCTTCAAGCATATTCTTACCAAACGAAAACCATAATTCCACCAAGCATGTGTACTTTTGAGTTAGGGTCTGTTTCTTAGCAGCTTAATAGGCTTAATGGGACTTGCAGCTTATTCAGTCAGCTATACATGACTGATTGGTAGTGGCTTAAAGATATAGTAAGAGGTTTATTCGGTAAGCTTCTAGGGGGAGCTTTCTGCAGGAAGCCAAGTTTTTTCCAAACCTGTCCCTCCCAATTAAAGAACATGTTTCTTCCATCTATGAAAAACCCCTCCCAAACAAAAATCTTCCTAATCTATAAGCACAGATTAATACACACAGACAGCTTTATCCATACAGGATTCGATGGACAACCAACCAAACATCCCCTTAATCTGCTACATAATCGAAGTGTAGTTGTTGGACAAAGAGGCAGACATATATCCTATTTTTCAAGACAAGGTAACACATGATTACACCACTGACCACTCATGTGCACATTGGGAATTCTAGCAGAAAACATCTATTTGCAACGAAAAACTAGTAATTTATCCATACATAAAGAGGTGACAATTTGACAACTTACATCGTCTTTAAGGCAACTAATACCTTACGTAACTTATATTACCTAGAAAATAATACATAAATCCAATGCCCTTACTTTGTCGGATAATATGAAAGTCATGAACATACCAAGAACACAGAAGCCAGAATACCTACATATCCTTTATCACGTTGCTTCATCAAGCAACAAAAGTAGGCAAACTTTAAGCTGCTATTTACGTTTAGATTAGGGGAGTGTAGTTATTCCTACCTTGGTTATGTTCTTGTACCTGCTTCTATTTGTATGTTTTGTTTGTTGTCTGACTGTCTATTATAAACGTTGTTGCTTACTTCCAACTCATTTTCAACTTTTAGCGTTGTCTTTCTTATTTTTCAAGTTCTTGATTCTCATGTAGCAAGTTCTGTCCTCTCTTTTCGCACACTTTGCACAAGCCAGGAGTCTTCACGATAATCAGATGATGCAGACTTTGCCACTCTACTCTTTGAGGAAGAGGTCAAGTCTACGTATATCCCACCCCCAAAACCCCACCTCCTGGTGGGATCTACTATATTGGTCTGGTTTGGTTTGGTTTGGTTTTACATGCACACAAATTGCTTAGATATTTACAGTTTTCCTATATCTCATTCAATCTATCAAGCTAATTCATCGGTCTTCTTCAAGTGAGTGTTGGTGACAAACACCAACAAAATACTTATCAATCAAGGTATAGGAAGGGTAAGAAGGAATCTCCACCTTTGGATCAATCCTAATTGAAGAGTTCCACTAGATCAACACTAATGAGAAGCACCGGATCAATTCCCTTCTAAAGCAATTCATGGGTTAGTCGAGATTAAAAGTGATCAAGGGTCCAAATCCCTTCTTACACTTCTCATCTTAGCTCATATTCTCACATCATCCTTCGTCTCATGGCATATTACGTAATTAGAAAACGCTAACATGGTATAAATAATGATCGCACAAAACGACACTTGAAGTATGAGGATTTTGAATAATCACTTATCAAATTCCATCGTGCAAGACAAAAAACATCCTTAAGAATTCGCTATGATATATCTGATCCATGCATAATATCATGAAAAGTGGATACAAATTTTTACTGCTGCTTAGTACCGGCAATAGGTCTGCATTTTTGTTATGCTATTAAGCTCTGTTACTATAAATGATATTACCATACCAGGTACTATAAGCACTTTAAATGAGAACCACAGTTAATATTACCATACCATGTAATCTATGCACATCTGCCTAGCCAAATCATATGCTTCTGAATCACCATACACTTGATCTGCAACAGCACGAAACAAGCAATTCCCATCTTCCAGCATTCTTTTCACTTCATAACCTTTTGTCCGTCTAATATCAATCTCGAACTGACGTTCCCTTTCCTGAAAGAGAAGTACTTGTTAATAAATCGGTACAAAAGAACATCTCAGTGAACTACTGACTAAAGTTTCCTTCCATCTGTTTTCTTAACTGTGTCCTAATGTAATGCAAATATGTTATATGTCAAAAGGGGCATTCCAAGATTTCAGGGAAAGCTACACAAAGCAAAAGGTTTTTTTTTTGTAGATTATGGCACAGGCTAAAGTTGCAGGCTTTATTCCAACAAAATAGAAATCAAAATCACAGGGCACAAAGTCTGTAATTCAATGGTGTTCACCGAAAGTATACCGTATTAGTCTGATTATTATTCAGTTCTTTGTAGTGACAAAAACGACTAGAACTCACAGCATCACCATAAGAAGATCCATAGCAAGAGTTTTGTTCATCAGCACTATTGTAGCCATCATTTTCGCAATGAGACCTTGGAGATGAAGCTCGAGATCCTGCCGGCGATGTTCTTGTTGAAACAACCGGCCAGGCGGTTGCTCTTCCCGACGGTCCAATTCGCAAACCAGCAGAGTTTCCAGGGACAAATCTCCGGGAATTAGAACTTGCCGAAGAAGGTTTCGGTGGTGGAGCAGGTGGTGGAGGAGGATACGGACGTCCACCGATAGTCTGAGAAGGATAATCATCAATCTTTAATCCATCTTTTTTTTCTTCCTCCTCATTTACCCTCAACCCACCAATTCTTTTCAAAATATCTTCAGAACCCATGACAGTTTCATCCTCAATTTTCTCACTAATGGGTGCATCAATATCATCATTTCGATCACGATCAACAGTTTCTAAAGGAAGATCTTCACAAAGAACCTGTTCTTGAACCTCCTCCCCTGCTTCCAGAAACTGTGGAGGAGCAACCTGAACCTGCGGTGGACTCGAAGAAGACGAAGAACTCGACCTGTTTGTATTATTTGACGATGAAGACGAACCAGCTGTAGCAGAACCTCTTTGAACAAAAACACGAGTCATCCTTTTCCAAATTTCAAGATTTCGATAACCCTAGAACCCCTTAATTTGTTCTGAATATTCTTTTCCCCCTAAATCAAACAAATACAAAGTTCTTTTCTTAAACCAATTTTGGTAAATTATAAAACCCTAATTTTCGATTTGTCACGTGTCCTGGCCTTAGGCGACGTGACTCCAATTCCTCCGGTAAAAGATTTTCTTCTATTGCTCCAACCAATTTCTTCTTCGTTCTCCAGCTGAAGCGATCTCTGCATCCCCCTAACAATTCTCATGAGATTGAAGAACAACCAAACCCTAGCCCTTCCGAAAGTAACGCGAATTTTTTTACCTCCGATCAGTTCACCTCCGAAAACCCAAAACAATAACCTGCAACCAGTTTCGTAATAAGCCAAGAAAAAGAATAACCCAAAACGTATTATATGAAATTCGTATCAAAGATTCAAGAAAAGCCGATAGAGAATCGAAGATTCGAACAAAAAGAAAACTAATTAACCTAAGATGAGAAATTGGAGCGTGGGAATGGAGTCGGTGTAGTGTGATCTAAAGAGTGTGTGAAAGAGATTGAACAGAGTAGATTATTGAGAAAGTTGGTAGGGTTTTTGTGGAGCAGAAAATTGATAAGGGATAGCTTGACGACGGGGGACAATAGATACATACATATATATACATATACATATAAATACGCACGTACAGAGGAAGTGATGAAAATGGGAGGCTGCGATTTAGCGGCGAAGGTGATACAGGTGGCGGAGTTTTGGGAAGCACGTGGGTCGCAGGTTAAGGTGAGCTGTGTGAGAAACAGACATAGACCCTAGGAAAAGGATCTTCCTCTAAAGATCTCTGTCTACAAAAATGCCAAAAATATTAAATTAAAATTATTTTGTATGTATATATATTATATTGCACATGTTTTCTATAATCATAATGATTTTTTGTTGGGAAATTATTTAAAATAATTATCCAGATAAAAGTAGCAATCCCTCAACTTACAGAGATTATGTGAAAGAGAAAAGGTCCGAACATGGTCTGTAATTACAGTTACTAAATCTGTAAAATTCTAAACACGGACCTTTAACTAATTTACATATTTAGTCCATATACTTTTAAGTTACAACAAATGGAGCATGTTTTAAGTATACATCAAGGAAAAGGATATTGAGAACAAATTAAGGGGTTATGGGGTTATCGAAATCTTGAAATTTGAAAAAGGATGACTCGTGTTTTTGTTCAAAGAGGTTCTGCTACAGCTGGTTCGTCTTCATCATCAAATAATACAAACAGGTCGAGTTCTTCGTCTTCTTCGAGTCCGCTGCATGTTCAGGTTGATCTTCCACAGTTTCTGGAAGCAGGGGAGGGGGTTCAAGAACAGGTTCTTTGTGAAGATCTTTCTATAGAAACTGTTGATTGTGATCGAAATGACGATCTTGATGCACCCATTAGTGAGAAAATTAAGGATGAAACTGTCATTGGTTCTGAAGATATTTTGAAAAGAATTGGTGGGTTGAGGGTAAATGAAACTGTTTGGTTAGTTTTCCATTAAGTCTTGTATGCATAAAAACTGTCTTTATGAATTAATCTGTTTATATGGATCATAAATGTTTTTGTTTCGAAGAGGTTTTTTAATAGATGGAAGGTGTGTGTTTTCTTAATTGTGATGTGAGCATGTTAAGAAAAAAAACTTGGTTTTCTGCCCCTTATTGAACTAGGGTTAGGTTCCAGTGAGAATGATGGTTATCATGGGAAAGGGTAATAAGATATTCACCCTTGGATCAATAATAATTGAAGATCAACATTAATGCGATGCACCAGATCAACTCCTTTGATAAGCGCAATTCATAGTTAGGGATGAGATTAAAAGTAATCAAGGGTCCAGATCTTTTCTTACATCAAATACAACTGCTTGCAATATAACACTCGTTGAGAATATAACACTATTGGCATTACAATATCGTGAGAGAATCATAAATTTAAACATCAAATTACATAACCACCCTTTAAATTCTTGATCAGAACCACCCTTAGTTCCTCCGCAGAGCCACGGCAGATACGACCACCAACACCATGAAGATGACTGCTGTAATGAAGGAAGCCACCACGGCTCCGGTGACCCGCTGGCAGAAGTCGTCGAATTGTTGACAGATTGCCGCCCAATTGGCGTTCGAGTTGCCATTGTGTGCCAAGTAGATTATGGATGCAGCCGCGGATGCAGCAGCAGTGATCAAAGGCACCGCTATCTAAGTAGGTGAATTTGGACAAAAAGTGTTTAGATAAAAATACTGAACGAAGAAAACCGTTAATTATTAATGTTTCAAAACAAGGAGGAGGTACACGGAAAACCCATAAAAATGAAAAACTGAGGAACGTCCTGATAACCATTTATATGTACGTACAAGGACTTGGAGCTGTTTTTTGGTTTTTATGCACATGTGCATGTTATGCATATGCGCATACCGGACAAATTGCTTAAAAATTACATATATGCACACAGTCCAGATGCACGGTGGCTACCAGGGTGTTCCTTAGTTTTTCATTTTGTTGCGGTTTTTCATTGAACCTGACCCTTGAAAACATACTCTTTGACAAGTTTTCTGAATAAAATTCTGTACATACGGTGTCAAAAACGAGGAGCATCAACCGAGCTCCTATCATATGTGGACGAACGATGCACAATATAGAGAATGGCAACGAGAGGACTAAGTATGCACCAGCTGTGGCATTCGCAATCACGAAAAACCTGCATCAAAATCACAAAAGACCGCGTTATGATCAAGAGAAAGAGTACAGCACGTAAAATTACTAAACTACCCTTGGATTACGTGAAAGCAGGGAGGTCGTTGTAGTCTGCTTTGAACTGGAAGAATTGGGTGAAAAACGGGAGCTGTTGATTGGTGGTGCCCATCGCGGTAGCAGCCGCTAGAGCAGCAACGATGGCGCATATCCTTAGAATGAAGTCAAAAATGCCGAGACCTCTCTTCCACCTTGCCACTAACGGCCGTTGGGCGGGTTTCTTGGCAACTGCCACCACGACAGGAGAAGAGGCAGTCTTCGATGCCTTCGACTCGGTCACCGGGATCGGGATTTTGCTACTTTCTTTGGTTGAATCCATAGAAGGTGTTGAGCTTAAAGATAAGTAAAAGGGTTGTATGAAATTGGCAAAAGGGAGTTTGGGGTATTTATATATAAAGGGTTGATGGATTTGTTAAAGAAAAAAGGTGAGGAGTTGTTGCCAACTTGCTCCACTTCAACATCATGAGTAACTTCTCCAATTATAGATATTCTACCTGCAATAGTCCAAATACCCTTTAGGGTTCGTCTGTTAGCAATTTAACGAGACTTGTAACTTATTCAGTCAGCTATACATGACTGTTTGGTATTGGCTTAATGATACAGAAAGTGGTTTATTTAGTAACTTTCTTGAGAGGGGGGATTTATGCATAAAAACAAGTTTTTTCCAAACCTGTCTTTTCTAATTAAAAAACATGCTCATTTCATTTATTAAAAAGTCCTCCCAAACAAAAACTTTCCAAATTTATATAAAAAGATTAATCAATATATATAAATATAGCTTTATTTGTATAGACTTAATGAAAAACCAACCATAGAACGAATTAATCTTAATTCTAGCTGTAAATTGTTGTCTTAAAATCATCTACTTCATCAAGAACAAGCACAAACTTCCCATTTCTTGCAGGTTCCCTTCAGTTGTTTCTTCCACCCACAGAGAACCCCATAATCTGGTCTTTCCCCCCCTAAATTCTTGAATAATGATAAAAGTCCACTGCTTTCTGAGCATTTTCACAGAATTATGCTTTGGACATTTGATCATACTATCTATAGAATCAAGATCTTGACAATCTCCAGTTTTTAGGGGAACATCAGCTTCAAATTCAAGAAAATGAATCCCTTGATTCAGATTTTGTTAAGATCATGTGTGCGATCATCGATCCGAACCAACAGAAACTTGCAGGTTTCGTAATTTACTCTACAAACAGAGATCAAAGAAAACAAAAGACCCAACTGAAACAAATTTCATCTGCATAGATATTGGTCCAGAATCAAAGGGATTCAACTACAAGATTAGCCATCATCTTGACTAAAGGAACAGGACACTTGGTAACAATGTCAAGTTTTGATGAACTTGATGAATGCCCAAATAATGACAAGCCCAGCACACCAAGTTCCACAAGTGACAATTTTGATGACAAGAATCCATGCCAATATTCAGGATTCAATTTAAAGAAAGCATCAAAAAAGCTTCTGGTCCCTTTCAAATCAAGTTTCAAAAGGGTCTCCATCCCAAATGTGTAAAACTCCCTTGTTAATTTCTTCTCAGTTGGCCACAATCCATTCCACACTCTATGATAAAGTGGTTGCCCTCTGATCATGCGAGTCGAACCAAGGCACTCGACGATGGATTCGGCCAAGATTGGGGCCAGGGCTAAAGTACGAGCCACCATGTAGCCTGTCGATGGGTGAGCCAGTCCAGCAGTTCCACCAATCCCCATCACGGATTGAGGAATCCGTGGCAATGGCCCACCCATGGGGATCACACATTTCTCATTCTCGATAACTCTCTTTACTCTAATACCCATATGCCTTAACCTTGCCACCATTCTTGATTTGATCTCCCCGTAAGATAAAGCCGGCCGGCTGACCAACGAAGTCTCTTCTAAAAAGACCAAATTCGAATCAAACGGCATAGCGTATAAGAAAGTCGGGAGTCTAGAGTTGTTAACGCGTAGCAAAGGCTCGTTTCCGAGGTGGGAATCTCTCCAGTCCATGAGTAGAATCTTATCTAGATCAAATGGGTGTTCATCAACTTCTGCTAGAATTCCATGAGCAATTTGGTAACCATGGTTTCTAGGCTTATCATACTCAACAAAAGAACTTGCAAAACCACTTGCATCCACAATCAAACTTGCCTTAAATTCATTGCCATCATCACAAACAATTGAAGACTCAAATTCTTGATGATCCACTTTCCAAACTTTAGCTTTATGGAATTTAACTCCATTGGAGACACACCCACCAAGCAACTTCATCTTCAACATCTTTCGACTAATTCGACCATAAGGCTGATCAAGATACTTAGTGTTATGATCATCGATATGAACAGAAGCCATAGGCCAAGTTTTATCGAAACAATCGTCAAGATCCAAGGCTGATAAGTCATCAACCCAAGACCCGTAATTATTAGGCCACATAGAAAGTGGGTCCGGGTCAACACAACAAACCCGGATCCCATTTCTTGCAACTCGTTCAGCAAGACAAAGCCCGGCTGGACCAGCACCGATTACGACGACATCGAACCGGGATGTGGATGATGGGTCGAGCCAATTGATGTCAAACTTTATGGGTTCCCGTTTGTTTTCTGGGATCAAATCAAGAAAGCTGCCAAACTTGCTGTTTAGGACTCTGTGAGTAAGATGCTTGTGGGGTTTTCGGGAGAAGAAAGGAGTGGTTGTTAATGGCGGAAAAGAAGAAGAAGAAGGTGGTTTGTGGGAAATGGAAGTTAGAGGGGATGAAAATGGGGTGATGAGAGCTTCCATTGGAGGTAGGAGATGAGAGAGAAAGGGCCGACTGTTGTTGCAGAAGAGAGAGAGGGAGGTGGGAATGTTTATAAAGAAACATTAATATGGATCTTGTTAAAACACTAATAAGATGATGCTCTTTTAACCTTATTCGACCTTGGTTTTCTTAAATTCAAAAGATTTTGACATCATCTCAAGATTGTTGTTTTTCTTGTAAATCTGTATTCACGATTTTAAAATATATTTGTTCCCTCTCTAACCAATTCATCTTTATTAAATTAATTTTCATTATTTCGTTTACTATATAATAAGTTCCATGCAAATAATCTATATCTACGTTATATTATAAAGTATTTAACAAAAAAAATTAAAAATCATTTTTATGTATGAAGTATTGTTTATTGATGCATATTACTTAAAATTCAAAATTACAAATAAATTGTGCGTAAGTACAACTTATTAAAGGTTCATGTTTGAATTCATATAATTAACCGCAGATAAACATAATCAAATACAAGATAAACATTTCATTTTAAAAATAGAAAATAATCTAAAATATAATCAGGATAATCATTAAGTTCTAACAAAATACTTAATCATTATCTTTATAAAAAATTATATTATTAAATCAAAAATAAATATTAAATCTAATTAAATTATAATAAAAAATTGAATTAAAAAAATTACACAAAAAAATAATAACTTTTAACTAATATTGATATATTTATTTTCGAAATTTTATGATATTTTCAAATTTATATTTTATTCAAAAACAAAAATATTATATTTTTTTCTCAAAATCACAGAAAAACCGTATTAAAACATCTACAGAGACGAAATAAAACGAAACATTAAAATCGAGATATATCTCGCTGCATTGCGCAAATACCCTTTTAGTTATTTTATTATATACATAAATATGGTGTTTATTTTGTGCTATTCAAAAAATAAAGAAATATTACTAAATAATGTATGTGTTAATATAAGAAACAAAATTAAGTTAATAATGTATTATTTTACTTCTCATACTAAAATATGTGTATTTCACACCTTACATTAGTTTAAACTTTAAATATAGAAAATAAGATTGTCAATCTTTAAACATTGTTTGTCAATCATAAACTAGCTTATTTTTTGAGTTTTTATTTCTTCCCAAAAACACAGTTTGGATGCTAGCCGATAAGCTAGCATATTAAAGAAATACTTAAAGTAGAGTTTCAATAAGCTACATGAACTTTTTGTCACTATCTTTCCATTATACCCATAATTATTATTAAGAGTAAATTACAAAACATATTTATCGTCTCTGTTTTGCACAAATCATCCATGTGTATAAGGAAACTAAGACCTGATAAAGGTGATGTTTGATTGGTTTGAGCTTGACTCCAAAAGTCAAAAGTATTCGTAGATCCAAGTTCAAATCCAAGGAGGAAAAAAAATTATCTTGTGGCCACGGAGGTTCAAATGCGGTGAGTCCAGACTATCTGCAAAGCAGATGGTCGTCCTGGGATTAGTTGGCTCGCATAGCAGGTTGGATATTCAAGTTAATAATAATTAAAAAAAAACTTTTAACAACCAAAATATTCAATCCGTGTATCAAATAATTAAATCAAAACAGCCAAACCCATACATCAAAATTAAGATGGAAAACAAATTAAACCCTAACAAGAGCAGGAAATGATTAAATATCGGAGGCTGATTTCATAAGGTTGTGAACTTTGTTGATCGTAAAATCTCGGTAGTATCGTCTCTGGAATTCGTCCTGATGGAGGTAAGTAGGAGTGAGAAGGACATATCAGAAAAGAGGGAAAAGGGGTAGCAACAAAGTGATTGTTGTTGTTGTCAAAGAACATCGCCTCTTATCCCGTCACCGATCCCCTCCCCCCATCTCCAATGAAACCCCATTTCCTCCCAAAACAACTCCGTCGAGCAAACAACGGAAATCAACTCTGGTGAAAGTAAGAAGAAAATGGTAGATTAGGGTGGATTCACCTCTTATTGGTGGCGATGGAGAGGATCTGCAAAACTTGAAGGTAACCAAACCAGGGAAATCGATTGTAATCGAAGAACGTTGTGTTGGGGTAGATGAACAATAGGGTGGTCAATTGCTTAGATCGTGTATATCACTTTTCGAATCAGATATTTCGACCCTATAGCCTTCGGTTGCACAAAATTCTGAATATAGGATAATCCAAGAAGGAACGATCTAATTTCTTAGGCACGGAAAATAGATCATGTTACTCTAGGTTTTTTAATATCTCGGTCCTTAGATTCAAGAGCCAAAAACGAGTGTTATCTATAGAAATTAGATAAGACCAAACATTTTTATAAAAAAAAAACAAATGAAATACAATATAATTTGTGAAACTTAATTGTGATAAATATAATCATACTTGTCATTATAATTTTTCTATAATAATTCAAAAAATAATAATAACTCGATCTGAAATTACAGTGCAGCCGCTTTTGGGCTTCGATTTGCAAATTTGGCAGCCGGCGAAGTACCAACAAGGTTGATTAATTTTTAAACAATTGCATCAAATATTTTATTATAAATTAGAAGGTATTCATCTAAATATCTCGATTTTAATATTTTGTTTTATTTTATCTTCATCAATATTATAATATGATTTTATGTGATACTAAAAAAAATGATAATATTTTTATTTTTTGGATAAAGTATAAATTTGCAAGTATCATAAAATTTTGAAAAAAAAATGTATCATTTTAGTATAAAATTAAATATTTAAAAGTTTTTGTTTTTTGTGTAATTTCTTTAATGTAATTGTTTATTGTAATTTAATTTAAATTTAATAATGAAGTCACTTATTTCTGTTTTAATAATATAATTTTTTTATAAAAATAATAATTAGTATTTTGTTAGAATTCAATGATGATCTTAAATATATTTTAGATTTTTTATATTTAAAATGAGATATCTATTCAATATTTGATTATGTTTATCTACAATTAGTTACACAAATTCAAACATGGAGTTTTAACAAGTCATACATATATACAATTTACTTTTAATCTTCAATTTTAAATAATATACATTAATAAACAGTACTTAAAAATTATAAAAAATAGTTTTTAAATTTTTTTGTCAAATATTTTATAATATAATATAAATAAACCATTTATATTTACGAAATTAAAATATTGCATGACAAGACCACTTTTGACCAAATATCATTTCTTTTATAGTTATATCTATATAATTACCTAAAATTTATTCCTTTTTATAAAACTTTATTTATATAGCAAAAACATTGATTTGATAAAACGAAATAAGATGGTTGGAAACAACTAACAAGAACATCATACAAGCATCACGTACCTCCAATTAGGTCAGTAAACATGTATTTTTTTATAAACTTAATAATTTATATAAACTTATAAATCAGTATTATGTTATATCTGAAATTTTCTTGATTGTTTTTTTTTCCACACACAAAACAGTCAACATCTCACGTATGAAACAATAATAAAAACTAATATGTACACTTTTATGATTTATTAAATTTGTAAATGATTATGCATCGTAATTATATATATATGTGTGTATGTATGTATATAAACAAATTGTTAAAAAAATGTTTTTGACAATTAAACAAAAATTATGTATATTATGTACTATGCAATATATTGTTTCCATTACTATTATTATGTTATCCTCACCTAATCAAAATCATTTGATATGTTTGATCTAAATTGGTACCCACTAAATGTGTCGTTTGGTATTGACAAAGACCAATATAAATACAAATGATGTGAAATAATTGTTCTGAAAATACTTACAAATTATTAGATTACTATTTAAAAGAGTTTTTAAAAAGAAAACAGATGTTTCAACATATAAAGAGTAGAAATGGTCGAAGTCTAACTGATGACTTCTACACATCCACTTCAATAAATGTTAGACGGGCACAGATTGTCCCAAAATGTTGAGAGGGGGCTAAACAAGTACAAATTAATGTCAAGTCCCTAGAATAGTTGATCTTGACTCTGATACCATATAAGAATATGTAGAACCCATTAGATTACTCTCCAAAAGGTCATTTGAGAAGAGAGCTAGAGAAGGGGGCTTCCAACACGTATGTAAGAGAAATAATGCGAGTCTAGCTGATGTAGCACAATTGTATATATTAAAAAAATAAGCATATGACACTCGTTAAATATTCTAAACGTTTATCATCAATTCATCATTTATGAAGTGTCTAATACGTAGACAAGACTAAATAAAGGAGATTGAAGTAGGCAAGAAAAAACTTGTGGAACTACCTCGGGCTATATTGGGTCCGGTAATTGGGACCCACCCAGCAAATAAATAACTTCCTCCTGGACTTTGCACATGCAAATCGTTTTAAATAATGGAGGGGACGAACATGTCATCTCATTTTTTAATGTCCCCATATGACACTATTTATTTAAAAGCATGTCAAACTTTATATAAAATTGTGTTATAGATAAATTGAACTTAGATTATAGTATACTTAATTTGGTATTTGATTCTACTTATAGTAAAAGTTCAGTTAAGGGTCCGGTTCGATATCAATCTAGCCCAAACCATAACTTATCTTACTTTGATCAAATGAGGACATTTAGGTAACAAATTAGGCTTGAGAATAAAAGAATAAACCAAGTCAAATTCACGGTCCAGTTTACCCGGAACAACTAAATTGAAATAGCCATTTTTTCGAGGTGCATAAAGAAATTGCCGAGAATTCAATCAAATCCAATTTTCATGAGATGGCACACCTAATTATAAGGTTTGCAAATCAATCATACGGTGACATGTGAAATCCGGTCAAATTTCTACAAAAATTAAGGTATTTTATGAAATTCTTAGTCCTTATCTTTATGGGGAATCGGTTCGATTTTTCAGCTGAGTTGGGCCCACCATCCAACAAAAAGTGGGAGCAACCTTGATTGGAAATCAACCGTTATTTCTTTATAAACCTTGAAATTTTGGCTATTTCTTCAATCTTTTTGCAAAAAGTTAATAACCCAGAAGAAAAAAAATGCACGCCTAAGCAGAAAACTACTCAAAACCTATAAGATACCCTACAATTTTCTACATCTAAGGAACCATTTATCAAATACTTACCGGTCTAATTACCTTACCGGATATGAACATAACAAGGACCGAGAATCTTACCCACGCAAGAGTGAGTCAAGGATCCAGAGTCCTATCCGGTAAATGAATAATGACGTAAGCACTTACTGAGTTATAAGCACTTACCATCAATCCATTTTGATAGCCGAGAATGCTACCCCATAAGGATGAGGGTGGTGACTTTTCTATTAATCATTTGGTAAACAACCTCTAAATGGTAAATATTTATCTAGACAAAGTGGCAAATTGATCTATAAAATACTATTGTGAACATATTTATTTTTATATAATTTACAAAGAAACAAGGGTCATGTAGAACGTTTCCTAATAGCACATATTCAAACCGTCCACCAGAGAGTTTTTTACTGCTAAAATAACCTACTATAATTCAATTAGTTGGGGGAAGAAGATTAACTGAAGACCAGTATAAAAAGATGGTAAAAAAGCAGAAGCTCAGGGCTCCATTAACAAGTTATAAATCACGAGAGAGTCGTTCGTAGCATACCTCAAGAAAACCATTCAGTATCTGCAGGCTGATAAAGTGACCCCTCCGCAACAGATCGCGATAATTGTGTACAGGAATAGAAATGCCAAGAATGTCAGCAAAGCCCTGTCATGGATCATAATATTCGAAGTAAGCTTATAGACTAACTGGCTGTTTGGTTGGTTTTCCATTAGGTCCTATATGGATAAAGATATCTATGTGGATTAATTTGTCGTTATAGATTGCGAAAGTTTCTAATAGATGGAAATAGTGTGTTTTTAATTGGAAGAGACGGGTTTGGAAAAAAAAGTTGATTTTCTACATAAAGCTCCCCTCTAAAAGATTAATGAATAAGCCACTTTCTGTATTATCAAGCCACTACCAAACAGTCATGTATAGCTAACTGAATATGCTGTAAGTCTCAGTAAGCCCATTAAGCTGCTACAAACAAGCCCTGAGATTTGTCTATTTTATATTTTATAGGATCACTAGTTGGTAGTATCGTTTGATTTGTTTAATTTAACTTTAAAACTAGAAGGTTTTCACATTGTGCACTACATTATTTCCCAGCTAGACGCTATCAAATATTAAACCCCTTGTTTGGGCATTCTATCCAATCAACTTAGAAGTTCAAAAGTATTTTTCCCACATAATAAGTCATGTTATAAGAAATAGGTTATGCTAGTATTTGGGATTCAGTTTACTTACAGGAGTTCCATATTTTTCAACCAAAGAGCTGTTTGAAGTCTCTTCGATTGTTTCCTAAAATGGAAGGAACTATCTTGTATCGTAGAAGTTTTGTCGACAAGAAGCTCAATCCGCTCACCTCTATCTAATATCTTCTCAATGTTGTCCACCATAATGGTGCGTACCTGAAAGCAGGGATGAACAAATTAGAACATTAAAAGAATTCATAAATTTTAAACATCATCATTACCCTCATCAAATCAGAACATAAATTTTTGTGAACACAACTTACATACCCACTATCAAACTCGGGCAAATACAGAAATCAACTAGACCAAAAATGAATGAAACTAAAAGGCTTGTTCCACTCAGAGTAATGCCACTTTTGAGGCAACTTTAGTCGTACCAGAAGTCGCATTGGTCACCGTGGGTTGACCAAAAGTCGCACCACTTTTTTGCAGAGCTGAGCATATTCTATGAAATGACAACTCAAGCAGGCATATTTTTCAAATGATCTTTGGCTTGTGCATACTTTTTAAAGGACGAATCATTTAGTGGGAGTGACGGTTTTTAGTGCTTTTAAAGGTTTATAAGCTGCATATTCTTGGGGAGATCAATGAGAATTCGGCAGAGAACAAAGAGAGTAATCATTTGAAGATTGGATTTGTGTTGAGAATTCCAATCTAAATATATTTTCCTGGTTGAACATCTAAATCATTGTTTGGTTGTTAAAATTGACAGGGCCCATTGATTTGTGCAACCTAACTTTAAATTTCTAATCGAAATTAAGGATCCGTAATTGTTCTTAACTTTGATAAAGTAGAAATTAACACTTCCAATGACCACCAGATTATTTGGAATGTGTTATAGGTTTTCATAATCTAGCTTAAATGATTTGCGCCTCATCATTAGTTAGAATTGGTGTTTATCTCACTATTAATGCAATTAGTAGCTCAACTTTTATGTTTGTAGCTAGAGTCGTTTTAAATAATCAGAGACTTCTCATTGAGCTTCTCATGATAGTCTTTCATAAAAATAAACAAAGTGTACGATGCTCATCGACACGCTGGATTGATCGAGAGAATGTATTTGGGAAGTCAATGATACACAAGTTTGAACTATTATTAGATTATAATTCATTGTCGGGAGCTTTATTTTTATTATTTATAATCTTTAATTATTTGTATGCTTGGTTTAATATATCTCAATCCAAACAACCCCCCCCCCCCAAATGTAAGCGTAAAAGTCAAATCTCATTCACGACCAATTCCTTTAGATTCGACCCTGCTTGCCACTATTACAATTTAGGCTGTAATTTGAGATAATAGGAAATTATTATTTGTCGGGCTCGGCATACGTCAAAATTTTTGGCATACAATGATGGACCCTAATCATCCATCTACTTAACTATGTGACGTTCAGTTGACAATTGACAGTAACATTATCACGATAACAATGTACTTTAAAGTTAATCAAAGTATCCAATATATCAATAATTCACATAATTAAACTTTAAACATTTCATTGAAGTTCGATTTGCTAAATATATCGTTATGCAAGAAGTATAGGTATCCGTTGTTAAATTGTCATTTCGACATTCCACAAGCAGTGAATCATGACTTGTGGTAAGAATCAAATGATAAGATGGTTGGTTTGCTTAACCAATAATCTTATATCTTAGTCAACTTGCTTATATGCACATATGTTGTCCTAATGCAAGGAATCCTTCTTTTGATATGAACTACTGAAAGCAAAATAAGTTGATATTTCAGCCTGAAAATAAAACTTGCCTCACTAACTTCACCCCTAACACGTTTGAGCGTATCTGCACTGGAATTGCTCGAGAAAAACTCCATTTGCTGATGCAAGACCCTTGAGAATTCATCATTCATTCCATAAGCAGGAGCATATGGTGCCACTCTACCATAATTTTTCATGAACCTCATCTGAATGTCTTCCAAGTATGAAAATGGGATTCTTCCTGGATGAAATCACACATCAATACAGGTAGGAATCTGCTTATCTACTTGCCTTTCAACCTCAGAGCATTCAATTCAGGATAGACACTGTCAAGTTACTTAAGACAAGTGTGAAACACAAAGACTCTTTTAGGTATGAAGTTATGAAATTAATGATATATGAGAGGCAATACCATACCACTTCACTTTTGGGCACGACTTCTTGCAAGCCTGGTAATGAATTCAAACAGAAGTGATATCATTTTTTAATTCATCACTCTACGTGTATTTGCTTTGATCACTGATAAAGTTCAAAGACCCTTACAGTTTTATCATCTTATTCTTCCACAGTTCCCCCTCTCTTCGGACTTCAATCATTGACCATTAACGTTAAATGCTAACTTAATTGATATATATTTGTTTATTTCTCAAAATAAAATAGTATAACGTGAAGTTCATATTATTTTTTATTAAAATTACATATTACCATGGGACACTGAAGTCCGATTGAACCATAAAATCAAGTAATAACTCATATGTTGATGGCTGATCATGGCAACTGTTTGTCCTAGATGAAATCAACAACTGAAAATTCATCATTAAGTAATAGAAGATCATTCAAAGACATAATATAAATAAATCATATGCATTGCTTCATGTATCTTCTGTCATAAATCTATGGATGAATCAATCAAACAAGCTCGTTTAGTCTAAATAACCTAGAGTAAAGACATGTTTAGATGATAAAAACCTAAATTAGATAAACTAAAGCATGATCATATATAAGAGAAATCACTTAGAGCACAATGAGGGTGTGTATGTAGTCTTGCCTGCCTAATGTCCATACATGCTGCGACATAGATATATCTATGTGTGTGTGTGTATATATATATATATATATGTGTGTGTGTGTGTGTGTATGTGTAGAGAGAGACAGAGAAGGGAGACGGACTTCCTAATGTATCATTGGCCATACAGAGAAAGGTGAGAGAGTCGGATCTGAGAATATGGAAGATGTAGCCATCTTGAGAGAAGCAGAGCCTGGATCCCGCCTCTGCCGGCAACTTCTCGAGAATCCGGCGGACAATGGCCCCGGCGTTACCAGTCACGGCGCTGAACTCCGCCAACACCGTCGTACCCCTGGCCACCAGAGCGTACAGGATCGCCATAGGTCTTTGCCTATCTCCCTCTCTTTCCCTCGAAATTTCACGATTACGCATGATTTTGTATAATTAGTCCATATATTTACCTTTAATAAAATAATTATCCCATTCGTTATTGTATTTAAAGTAAATTACATTTTTGCCCTCCATGCTTTTTTGAATTCCTTGGTTATTGTTTCTCTACGATTTAACCATCATGAGGGTAAATAAAGTGTCTTAAAAGATTACGGTTTTAATTATTGTTATTTTTATTCTTATAGTTTATAATTTATTGTTGGTTTGGTTTATGTGTTTTATAATTTTTTGATGTTTTGGTCCCTTGTATTTGATGGTAGCGTTTTGTACCAGATATGATTGGACAGTACTTGACAGGATAAGAGGGTATAACTGGATGGGACAGGACTAGACAGAACATGTGTCTGTCTGGTGTTTGGTATGACTAGGGCTAGACAAGACCGCACTAGACAAGTTGCTCTAAAATTTATTTGATAATTTTATATATCATATAATATTTATAATTAACACGAATAAAGCAAATAATTAAATAATCTGATTTATAAACATTCTTACACAATTTTCATATACATAAATATATACTTATATAATAGTACAAAATTTGAATAATTTTATTTGATATAATTGATAGTAGTTTGAGAAAAACCCGATTCGTACAAAGGATAAATTTGTATCATTCGGCTTGGAAGATCCTTATCAATTGGCCGAAGGTGGTGTTGGTTATGGTGGAAGTGGAGAACGATACTAGTCATGGTGGAGATGGACGATGGCGGTCGGTGGTGATTGTAAAGGACATGAAGATGGTAGATTGTGATACTGGTAGCCGATGGTGGTGGTTATGGTTGAGGTTGGTGGTGGAGGTGGTGAGGTTGGTGGTGGAGGAAGAGGAGGTGGAGATGGCCAACGGTGGCTACCGACAATGAATGGCGATGGTGACCACTAAAACAAATATCATATTAGGATTATTTATCAAACGAATGTTGCTTTGTAATATTTTAGTTTCTCTCTCGTTTCTTGTCCCATCTTGTTCTATCAAAATCTATTTTTGTCCCACTTTATCCTAGTTTTTGTCCTTGTCTCATATTGCACCAAACATGAGACAGTGAGTTCTTGTACTGTCCAATTGATGCAGATCCAGATCCAGATTCATGAATGGAAGCTGAAGGTTTGATTCACATCAAGATATAGAAGATGGTTAGATTCAGGGTTTTAGTACTTGTTTTCGTATATGGTTCTTGTTGTTCTTGTGGGTTTTAAAATTAGTTGTTAGATTTTGATTTTGATTTTGAGGTTGTGAGTAGGATCAGGTTCCAGATCTTGTTTTCCGGGTTTGGAATTTAAATGTTCTTCTTAACAATGTTCTTGTTTTCATATCTTGTTGTGATGAATTTCTACAATATTGGTTGTGTTTTTGAGAAATATAAATGTGTCATCATTTTAGTGTGTTTTCTGATAAACCAAAAACCTTTAGTTAGGGTAAAAATCTGTTGAATATTTTAGGGTCATGATATGTTTTGGATTGAAGATGATCCCATATTACCGTTCATGTTTTTTTTTTTTTTTTTGTTCTTAAAATTTGTATGAATGATTTTAAAGTTAAAGATTGAGGTTTTGATTTTGAGTTATAAGGATTTGATTTTTTTTTTTAATATTTGTGTGAGTTCGACGGTGCGTTGGTGCTGTGACAATGGTTATGGATGGTCGCGGATGGTCTTCTTGATGAAGGAGGTAGGAGAAGAAGATGGACTAAAACGCCCCTCACGTGAGGGGCACGTGACAGGGTTAACATAGCCCAAACTAACGGAGTTAATGAGAAGGAATTACTTGGGCTCCAAAACAAAATTTGGACCAAGAGTGTATTTTACGAATTTGAGGAATGAATATAAAAAAGAAGGTATAAACGAGGGACCAATAATATAATGGGAAATTATATCAAATGACTGTCTCCCTCTCTAAATTGGTATTTTAACCATCTCTCTTGGTGTGACCCAAAATATCAGTACATTCACAATATCCAAGTTCACAAGTTAAAAGACAAAAAAAGTCAAATTCAACCAGTTTAACGTCGCAATTGCGGACCTGGCCATCACATTTGCATATCTGGTCATTGCAATTGTATATTTACGTTGAATTTCATTTTTATTTTTGGTCTTACTTGGATATTACGAAAGTAGTGACATTTGGATAAACCCGAAAATAAAATGGTTAAAAAAACCAATTTAAATAACTGAAATGGTAATTTAACTCAAATAATCTAATATAATTCATTCTATATTTAATTATAGCCTAATAATTTTTCAGATAATCCATTTCCAATCTTGTAATGGCACTATTTGCGAGTGTGCAAATTTAATGTAAATAATAATTGTAATATAACATTTTTAATTTCTAATTTACATAAATATTTAATAATATTCTTATATTTATTAATTGTTCTATAAATGTCTTGCTTAAGTTTCTTTTTCAGTCACGCATTTATTTATGATTTATTTTGTTTTAAATATGTTATTATATAAATAAATTTGAAATACAAAACAAAATTAAGAATATGTTATAAATTAATAGAAACAAAATATTGGGTCAGGATCAAGAAAAATTAAGACATACTCTTATAACATTCATCTATACCATATATATATATATATTACAAATAATTTGTAAGCAGTTTGTCCAGTATGCGTAGGTGGTGTATAATACGTACACGTGCATAAAATCAAAAAACATGTTTAATTACTTATATACATATTTGTATATGGTCCAAATAAATGCTTGCCAGAGTGTTACTCAATTTTTCATCTATTTGAGTTTTTCCATATATATTGATATGAAAAAACAGTAGAACGTTAAGAATTGGTGTTAAGGAAGTCAAATAATATATGAAAATTGGTATAGAAATGAGATTTGGTATTGGGTAGAAGAAAGTATTGTTAAACTACAAAAGTAGGCCTTGAACTTTTTATCATTTTCCATTTTGAATGCATTAATTTTGTATTTAAGAAAAGCAGTAGGATGTATGGTGGTCCAAGTCTTCAACTAACACAAGAGTGTCTCCAAGTCCAAGTCTTAGTTGCAGTATTTATTAATTGTTGTATTTAGATATGATAGAGATATGGTCAAGTAATTTCTTTGGTACATACCCACGTGTGCGCCTTGTTTTGACAATTAGAAACTATTTTTAGTGAATTAGTGCCACACGATGATTTTATTAAAATCAAACTAATTATTACCTATAACCTTCAAAACTACCGGTATTATTTTAAGTCAATCATTCATTGGGTTTTGACTTATATTGACAACCATTATATATATATGGTTGGGTTCACGTGAGATTAAGGGTTTTTCGTGAGATACGTAAGACCAATTTATATTCATTTATCAAATTTATAAGCTAATGATTTAATGGTTTAAAGTTGTATGGTAACAATTTTATGATTATTGAGAAGTCTTATGACAATTTTATGATTACTAGCTTTGTACCCCCGCAATACGGCGAGAGTCATGAATTTTAACGATTTTGAAGTTTCGGTTTTATAAGACAAGATTTAACGATGATATAGGTTACACTTGATCTTTACATTTTAATACAATTTGAATAAATAAGAGTTATGGTTCTAATTACAGACTATCGATGAAGAAAATTGTATGACAGTTTAAAATCMAATATATTAAAATTCAACATATTTAAACGACTCCACAAATGTGTTCGATTTACACCAAGAGCAAAGAACCMARAAACTTGAGTTTTAAGATAAACACTCAAAACCAATAAAGAAAACTACAAATTTGACAGATCATAAGTTATGAAAAGACCAAAAAAGATGGGTTTTAGAATGAAATTTCAACTGCTTACCCTCTTTCTTGTCCAGAAGCTCATATTAAGGTTGAATTAATACATGTATATATGTATTTCAAAAAAAAACCAATAACATATTATACAGTGCAATTTGGACAGCCTAATCCCAAAATGTATAGCATATATATAAATAAATAACTATAAAAGTATAAATCGTAAACATTAAAAATATTTTTTCACAGTATATATAATATATAATAATATAATTAAGTCAAAAGCTATTCAATATTAGACTCATTTCGAAGGTATTAACGAGACGACTATAATAGTGTAACTTGTTAAAATAAAAATGTATTTTTTAAACATGTTTTATTTGATATACGATTATGTATGTTAATTTGATAAAGGTTTAAAATGAAACATTTAAAAGTAAAGGATGTAAAGTAATTAATTAACTAATTATAGGGATATAAAATATAAATTTAAAATTATAATTTAAAAAAAAATCCGTTGTATGTGAGGGGGTGAGTGTATGTGAGAAGAGGAATGGGTGAAAAAGTGAAAATGGTATCTTGGTCATTTAGAATTTTAAGACTTTAAGATTTTTGATGAATTTGCTTAATAAGATAGTATAGATGAATGTTCAGATTATAGATCTAAATCCAATGGTTGAAAATTGATTTTATGGTTCTCACGAAAAACTCTTCTCACATGATACCAAGTATATATATGTATATATATATATATATATATGTATATATATATATATATATTATATAAAATATAATATAATAATGTCTCACTCACGTCTCAATTCTACTCCAAGTCTTCCTTGAGACATGACAATTTAGTTTTCCAGTCTTATCTTTTTCATCATTAACTGCATTATATATATTACTTCATATAATATTATATATATATATATATATATATATATATATATATGTACGGAGTTAACATCTTTTTAAAAAGAAAAGTAGTTTTTTTTTTTTTTTTTGTAAAAAAGTGGCATTATAGGTTTTATGAAAAGAGTTTAATCTAGTATGAATCCGACTATATATTTTTATATATAGAGTTTGTTTATTTTACAAATTATGTAAATTTATTTCACAAACACATAAAATTTGTTCACAACATGAACAAACATATTACAAAATAAATATATATTAATCACTATATTAAATTTAAACTAAAGACAAAAAAAATCATATAAAATAACAGATGATGTACAAATTTTCAAATAAAATTCCATATATATATATATATATATCATACATATAAAAGTTAAACTATAGTTACCACTACGTGCTAATTCACAAAAAAAAACTACAGGGTTACAATTAATTTATAAATAATAACATCAAAGTAAACGTTTTTCTAAATCATTTACACCTAAAACCACAGTAATTTGATCACTTTTTGCTCCAGAAAATGATCATAAATTAACATCTGTTTTATTAAAGTTGATGAGATTTGACGGACATAAACGAATTTGTTTTTTAGAAGATCCAAAAATCACTTCTGATGTATGTTAATTCATCGACGTATCACTGGAATTCATCCCGTTAAATGTTGCCATTCCCATTCAGGTACAAGTCCTACGTTTCCCACCGTATCAACCATCCGGTTCGAGCTTCCAGGGCTTGAGCAGTTGGAAGGGCTTGCGGTCTTGTACGTCTGTACGGCATTTTGCGAAGACGGTGCACCCTGGCTAGCTTTGGAGGTGACCATCGGTGTCGGTTCTAGCCCTAGTGGCCGTCTATCGAATGCCCGTGTGCATCCCGATACCACATACACTCTGCATAGACTCAACTCATGTCTTAACTGCAAAATTAAGTTTCTCCAATTAAAAAAAAAAAAAAACAGCTCAAACCAAACGAACCCAGTAAACCCCACATAAATTAAAAGCCGGAAAAGATCAATATTTTACCTTTGGAACAGAGGAAGTGTTGGTATTGTCTACGTCTTTTTTGATAGCTCGATACTCGTTCATCTTCCATTCGGTTCTTTTCACCGTACGCGACTTCCCTTCGTAGAACACCATTGTTTTCTTCACTCCAATGACTTTGTTATCGGACGAGTAGACGTACGCCGGTGAACCCGTGGCCTTCCAGTATCYAGAAGCGGTGGTCCGGCTCGGCCTTCCACCTTGTGCTTCCCTTTCTTGCCTCGGCACAAAAAAGAACCACTGTTCGGTGTCCCGGCGACACAATTCCCCGGCTAACTCTACACATAAAAAGCATAAGTACGTAAGACCCCATGGTTCCACGAATGTGAAGAAATATATACATACAGATATATGTATGTATATGTATATATATACTTACTTGGAAGGTGGCAAGGACTGTGATCGTAGACAGGGACGACGGGGATGACGCGATGGAGGTCGTGAGTTCGTTGGCCTTGGAGCTTGTTGAAGAGATAGAAGGAAACCAGTTCTTCTTCAGTAGGGTAGAATCGTAAGATTGAAGGTGGATTCGCCATTGTTGTTGGTGTTTTGAGCTTGGATTCCATGAATTTATATGGTTGGTGAATGAGATGGTTACCGAGTGAAAATGGAAAAAAGAGACGTAAACGAGGTCTTGAATAAGTCATGACAGGACCTCCAATTGGGTGGGTTCTTTTACATTGAACTAGTCAGCTTTTTGCTGAATTACAGGATTACCCCTTTAAGAATGGTTTTTTGCACTATTTGTATTATTCTGATTAATGTTTTACAATCAAGTCCCGTATGTTTGAACAAAAAGTTGATTACCGGCAAATCCGACTTAATCGGCTCAATAGAGAACATGTTCCCTAAGAACCACATATGAGAAGCTATTTCATAGCTGACCCAACGCATAGACTAATAGAAGGATTCAAGCCCGTCTCACACAAGATTTGAACCAAAAATTATTATGTATTTGAGCAAAGTCGTTCCTCCTGTACTTTATCTAGATATCGGTTGGTTGATTAAAGAGTAAAATATATATTACTGATGAGCAAATGGAATAAATCTTTAAAACTTTGTTATTAGTATAAAATATAAAATAAGAGCGAGCAATACCTGCCACATAAAATGACAATCATGATATTATTTTTTTGGGATATTCACCAAAATGACCAAAATATGCCTGATATATTAACAAAATAACTAACTTTTACCAAAATTGCGAAAATACCCACACGGATCGCTCCCGCGGGGCGAGGGTTGACCATGGGGGCGATCCCCCATTCTTTGACCAAAAAAGTACAAAAAATATTAAAAAATTAGTTTGGTGGGTCCCACATGCATCTCTTTTACGAAACCAAACACTATTTACCTCGATTTTGGTGAATCTACCCCCGAGGGCGATCCACGTCACCCAATCGGCCCCCGGGGGCGATCCATTTTTGTAATTTTTTTACTATCAATTAATGGGTGTTTTTAATAAAAAAAAAGACGATATTTAAACTTTTTTTTACTTTTTTAGAACCAAATTCCATGGTTATATTTTATAAAATAAAACCATGATAATTGTGAATACACAAAAGTTATTTTTATCTGATTTGGGGAAAAATCAGATATTATATCTGATTTACGTATTTGACCGCTATTTCGTCTTTTAGTGTTTATGATTTGACGACGATTTGGGGGGACAAAAATCAGATTTCATGGTGTTTGACTATATACGATATTTGTCCGTCAGAAATGTTCAAAAAACAAATCAATGCTTTAACCAAAGTGTTAAAGAAGTATATGCCTGAATTCCTATCGGAGATAGGATATTATATAGGGGTCAGGAAGACACCCACATTACCGTATCTAAAAGTATTTTATCTAAAATACGTGTCCCGATAGGCTGGAGTCATCGGTGATTGTGGGGTATTCTATTGTATGTTTATTGAACAGAAATAAGACAAAATACATCGTCAAATTATCGTCAAATCATAGACACTAAAAGACGAAATAGCAGTCAAACTACGTAAATCAGATATAATATATGATTTTTGTCCCCCAAATCAAATAAAAATAATTTTTACGTATCCACAATTATCATGGTTTTATTTTATAAACTATAACCATGAAATTTGGTCCTAAAAAGGTTAAAAAAAAGTTTAAATATCGTCTAATTTTTATTAAGAACACTCCTTAATCGATAGTAAAAAAATGAAAAAAAATAAAATAAAAATGGTGTGGATCGTCCTTGGGGGTAGATTCACCAAAATCAAGGTAAATAGTGTTTGGTTTTCTAAAGATGATGCATGTGGGACCCACCAAATTAATTTTTTTAATTTGTTTGTACTTTTTTGGTTAAAGAATGGGGGATCACATGTGGGACCCACCAAATTAATTTGTCCTTGTCATATGCATCTAGTAAGGTAATGTAACTTGGAAATCACTTAGCCGAATAAGGGGCTGTTTGGCAGTTGCTGAATGATTTTGTACAGAATGGTTAAGTGGTCAGAATGGTTAAGAGGGTCAGAATGGTTAAGTGCTGAATGAAATATGGTTGTTTGGTAAATGTTCTCTGAATGATAACAAATTACCATTTTAACCCTCTGTATGATTTAGTACTGAATGAAATATAGCTGTTTGGCAGATATCTGAATAAAACAATTACTTTGTAAATATAACTACATATTTCATATTAATCCAAACAAACATAACATTACTTGTTCAAAACAAGTTTTCATATTAATCAAATTCAAACGTATCAAACACTCATATGTTCACCAAGCTCCCTGTTAAACCCACCAAGAACAACTACCACACCTACAGAAAAGCCCTCTAATACCCATGATGAACCTATTACATCACCACCATAATCACCACAATCCACCCAACCCATTGTGCATAGCGCTGCTAATACATTTGTGCAGAAAAACATGAAACCACATAGAATTAAAACCAGAAGTGAATGTCTAGAATTAAAACCAGAAGAACAAAAGAAAGGAGGGTAGTTATTGAGCAGTCTGATAAGGAAGTAGAGACAGCAAGAACAGCAAAGAAGAAAAGAAAAGTAGGGAAGCAGAAACTGGGAATAGGGTTTTGCCAAAGGAGGTTTATGAGGGTTTTGGGAGGTTGGGTTTGGGTAGCTTGGAATCGAAATGGAGAAGCAGAATCATCGGAGAAGCAGAGGCGGACCTGAGCAGAATCATCGGAGAAGCAGAGGCGGACCTGAGCAGAATCATCAGAGAAGCAGAGGCGGGCCTAGTCGCCGGCGATGGAGACGATGGAGGCGACAGACGGAGACGGAGACGACAGACGATTGTAGGATGGGGGTGGCGATTTGCAGACCGGCGACGAGAGGGTGGGGGAGGGGCTGTGAAGACCGGCGACGATGACTCTGGTAAAGGGTGGGGGAGGGGCTGTGAAGACCAGCTGGAGAAGATGGAGAAGATGGAGGAGGGTGAAGGAGACGATGACTCTGGTAAAGGGTGGAGAAGGGTAAAGTGGGAAGAATTGTAATCTGAATGGTTTAGTGGTACCCTCAATGCAAAATGGTTAAGAGGGAGTTTGTAACCATTAAGAGGCATTTTTTTTTGCCAAACAACTTCAACCTCTGACCGATTAAGAGGTTGGCTCTTAATGTCACCATTAAGAGCCAAACAAACAGCCCCTAAGTATTTGATAAATGACTCCTAAATATCTATTACTTAATGTATTGGATGTATAGGCAATAATGAAAAATTGACATTTTAGAATTTAATTCAGTTGTGTACGTTTGATATTTATATTATTCAATTCAAAGTTGTGAATACATGTTCTTTTAATTGTTAGATCCATATTTTTAAATGTTAATTAGAAGTTTTTTTGACGGTTGTTGAATTGTTTGATATAGAATAATTAAGTGGTTCTCATGATATAATGTAAAATGAATTATAATTGTTTAGTAATTGTTTACAATGAAATTATGACGCTTAATGGTTAAAAGAAGCTCAGTATACAAAATCATTCAAAGGGTTTTAAAACCATAAAAAGACACATTTTTTTGTCAAACAAGATTCATCTCTTAACATTTCAGAGACTGTCTCTTAATAAAACTATTAAGAGATAAACAAACAACCCCTTAATCAGATACAAGGTTATTAATCGAATAATGTGAAACAATTCAGATACTATAATAATATGGTGTTTTAGTAATTAAAATTATGATGTAATCATAATTAGTTTTGACTTATTGTTATTAAGTTATGGTTTTTAATAAATGATGTATTTTTAAATTTGTATTAATCAAATATTTTAATTTATCGTCTGTTGATTTTTAATTGGTATAAAAAAAACCGTGAAACACATTCTATATAGAAAATATCCGACTCCAGAAGACTCCTATGTATCCCTTGTTCATATCAACATCGAACCGTTCTCCTCTCACCATCGACATTGCCATCACCAATTCTTTTTTTGTACAGAGATATAATTAAGACAGTGTTTATTTAAATAAATAAAAAAAAGTAGATACAATATTCAGACTCAATTCAAATCGCATGAGTTCGTATATTTTTTTTTTTAAGTTATATAATATTTATATGCAACAAATATTTACATACAGTCTTTACATTTGATACAGTTTGAACAATCTGACCTCTTGAAAAACTGACATTTATCGACAAGTCACTGAACTGATAATCGTTTGGTGCCCCATTAAATAACCATACTTTGAACAACACATACAAACTTGTTACGATAAAATTGATCTTCTAAGCTGTATAAAACTAACATTTGAATTTCTATGCCTCTTGTTACCTCGGATATAAAAAAATATGTTCAATATAACCCTCATCTGAAAAATATGTTTTAACTTCTAAATGTTGTTCAAAACACTCATCTGCGTTTATGCCATCTCGATAGCCTTGATGCCATCTCGATATTTCATTGATGTTTTATATAAAGTAACGCAACATCCTTGCGCCTTTCTCTGTGTATACAAAGTAACCCAACGTCCTCGAGCTTTTCTCTCTTCCTTTCATCCATCTGTTTCTTGGTCCAAAAGCTCGAACTGTTAAACCCCTAAACTGAAACCTCTCCATTTTCCGGCTCTATTTGCAACTTATGGTCTCCCTAAATATGCATTTCCTTGTCTATCTTCTACAGGTTTCGTGCATTTCCCTATCTTGTCGTATTCTTGTTAGGGTTTCCTTAATTCAATTGTTTTTTAATTTTAATTACCTGTTTTCTACGATGCTTGGTAACTATGAAGACGGTGACCATTGACAATTTAAGCATGTCTTTCTCTCTCAATATCACATCCCCTGAATTTCAATCATGTGTCATAAATTTGTTATCATGAAGATCAGTTATAGAAGTTCCATTTGGTCTCTATATACATGCAGACGTCTGTCTACGTGTGTGTGTGTGTGTATATATATATATATATATATATATACATATATACATATGTCTCTTTCACACACACATACACACACATATTTAGGACTTAAGTGCAAGGAGTGAGAATATTATGTGTGGTGACAACTTGTTGTAACTGTTTCCACAAAACTTTCACTTTCTAATATGTCGTATCACGTACATCTTGTAGAAACAAGCGACAAAGTTAGGCAGAATTTCATTGGATTTAGTTAAAACAGATTGATCTGATTAACATTGACCAATCAAGATTGAATAAATAACTGCAACCGAAGTGGATCCTAAATTTCAATATCTAAATAGATCGTCTAGTTCTTAGATAACAGTTCAAAATATAATAAAAACCGAACTGAACCAATCAAATAATCAACATACCACCATACGATATTGTGCTTATAAATTACGTTCACATTGGTATCTGTTTGCTTTTATCTGACATAAAAAAAAGGAAAATATGAATAAATGGTTAGAACAGTGAATTAATTAATTGGAAAATTGTATCCAAATACCGAATCTATCTAATACGATCAAATTAAAAACCAATAATAACATCAAATAATTGAATCGATATGATCTAATCATTTATTAGCACGTCAATTTATGGATTTCAACTAGGGACGCTCATGGGTTGGGTTGAACGGGTTGAAGACATTTGATCAACCCAATCCAATGCTTACGGTTTGAAAAATCTTAACCCAATCCAACCCAACCCAAACCGTACAGGTCGATCGGGTTAGTCGGGTTGATACTTTGGTACATTAAAATATTGTTCTAACCTTGAATATGTTATTTCTCTACTCATAATTTATTTTTCATCATCAACCATTTGATACAATTTATTCATACTTTTTACGTATATCACATTCAGTTAATTTTCTCAATTTACGTATATATGTTTACAATTACTGAACATATATACAAATGAGTTCTATAAAGATGTGAATAGATTGAAAAGATGTGTATATGAAGAGCGTACGTGATACGGTGATAGTGTTATTGTCTAATGCATATATTAACAAGAATTCGGGTTCATCGAGTTGGGTTGAGTTCAAATAATAGTAACACAATATCAACCCAATACATACGGTTTGAAAATTTTACAACTCGATTAGACATCGAATTACTTTAGGTTGAGTTATTTCACGTTAGGTTGAGTTAATCAAATTGGTCGGATTTTTAAGCACCCCTAATTTCAACTGATAAACACTATTCCACGTGTTCAGGTCCTCTAATAGTAGACTAATATATCACAATCCATGTAGAAAGTCTAGTCGATGACCGGAATGGAATACCAAACTCAACTTTTCCACTGTATTTCTAATTTTTTTTCCATTTAATATTAATAAAAGATTTTCTTAATGAAAACAAAAACATTTCGGGTTGTTTAACAAGCGCATACCATGTCTCTTATTTTATTGATTGAACATGACAAAAAGTGAGAATCTTACCTTATAAGAGCAATGATAAAAACCAAAAATCTTACGCGGTTAACACTTATCGAAAAAATTGTTACATACGATATTGATATACTATAATTCTAATCGGTACGGTAAGCGAGAATGTTTGAACTCTTACCGGGTAAACAACTCCTTAATATTAATAAAAAAAATGTTATTCATAAAAATTAAATTAAAAATTATTTATTATAGTCAGAAAATTAGCCTTAAAAGTTCTTAGACAACACGTGTCATGTACCGTAGCTTGAAAGCTGGGATATGGTGTCAGAATCAGATTCACGACCTTTTACGTCGGTCAAGTTGTTAGTTTATTTTTTTAATAATTTTATTAAAAAGTGATTTTTAAATTATTAAAAAATGAATCTTGTTTGATAAAAATAAATCTGTTTTTTAATGGTTTTAAATTTTTTTGGATGATTTTATATCATGGACTTTCTTTAACCATTCAACGCTTTAATTTGGTTGTAAATAATTATCAAACAATTATATTTTATTTTGTATTATATCATGAAAGTCTCTTAATCATTCTACTTAATCATTCTGCACTAAATCATTTAGTAAATGCCAAACAACCCCCAAGTAAGGACTGTTTTATTGTTTTTCTTATTAAATTTTATATGGATTAAACTGTTTATAAGGATTTAGTTGTCTGCATGGATGATGCTAAATTATTATATGGTTGGTTATACTGAATAATAGATGTGAATGATAAAAATGACCATTTTACCCTTAAAATTAAATAAAACTAAAAATCAACATTTTGTATAAAAATATGATTTTCCTATCATAAATGGAAAGAAGACTTGCTACAAAAATAGTTTGTGTTCCAAAAATGCTTAAAAGTATGATCTTCCATCATAAATGGTTAAATATCAAATCGAAAATGTAGACAAGAGAGGGTAACAGGGGTCTTTTTCCAGGCTGAATGTAGACAAGAGAGGGTAGGGAGTTGAATGAATAAGTTGTTATTTGAGTGATTAAGCCACAATCTAACATTTTAGTATGGTTTATTCGGTAAGCCATATAGACGTTAAGCCCATTAAGCCATTACCGAACAACCATTTAGTCAATTTAGAATGATATGTTCATTTTTAGCCAATTTCTGTAAGTTTAACTAAAATAGTTAAGATTTTATAAATGTTCCTTTTACAAATTGTAAAATATTTTTTTTATAAATAAAGTATGATAATGGTAGGTCATTTTGCAAACCACTAAGGCGATATCACATGTCAAAATGACATTACGTAACTTGTCGCATCCATTTCATAAGCCGTCGTGCTAATTTCGCAAACCGACCCTACGAAGATCATAGTTAATGGAGGGAAAAAATTACATTTTGTAAGTTGCAAAAGAGATACTTGCGAAATCATAAATGTTTTGGTCAAATTGAAAAAAGTTGGCTTAAAAGTAGAGATGTTAGTCAACTGGTCTTAATGATTTTTTGGTCAAATACATTTAACGTGAAATCATAAATGTTTTGGTCAAATACATTTCACATGATTTTTTTTTTCATATAAGACTACAATTTAATATATCAATTAATATATATTTGTTTTACACTGTTTTTTTTCATATATATTTTGTTTACAATGTGAAACTTTTTCATTATATTTTTTGTTTTTCACAAACACATAAAAAATGTTCACATTCTAAAATAAATATTTATTAATGACACTGATTCACAAAATTATCATAATTAAATAAAAATATATATATATATATATATACATATATGTAATTAATATATTTTTTCTTTTATATATTTTGACGTTTTATTGTTATTTTAAAGAATTTAATAAAGATGTTAAAGACGACCTAAAAGGACTCATTTTCAGAAATATACGAATCAATTTATTATTTTATTAACGAATTAAAATAAATTGCAATTAATTGGATAGAATATTAATTAAAGAACGAAGCATAAAATAAAGCACAAGAAAAGCGAGTTGGCCATCAATGGAACCTTCTGATTCCAGCTGCCTTGCCTTGAAGACCAGACTTGATCTTCCGAATCGTAGCCACGTCAGTTTTAAAAGTCTTCGCAAGAACCACATCATCCACGTTTCCTCCGAACAAACTCGCCGGAATCGAAACCGTGGCGGCACTTGCACTCCCAAATGCCGCCACAGCCGTTGCCGGATTCTTCGAATCCGCATTATACTGATAATGCACAAGTCCTTTTGGGAAAATGAACATGTCTCCTGTTTGTAGGCTTTGAGTATAGAGTTTATTAGTCGTATCCACAAAACCCACCTCCACTCGGCCTTCCAACACGAAAAATAGGCCGGTGGCATGGGGGCGTGAGTGCGGTGCACTCACTCCTCCGGGGGCTAACCGTAAGACCGAAAGCGAAACACTTTGGCCATTTAGAGCCGGAAACTCTGCCAAGCTGGCTTGCATTGATTTAGTAAGATCTATCCCGTCGAAAAACCCACGGATTTTGGTGTACGTGAAGAAATTTCCGTCTGCTACTGTCATGTTTGGCGGGAGAATGTAGTCGAATAGGATGTCGGGATCGCTAGCTCGAACGAGCCCGGTTAACGTGATGCCGACACAAATCGAAAAGCAAACTAGGTTTGCCAACAACACAGCCATGATTTTTCTGTCGAACCTCGTAAACAACCTCGAAGTATATATGATTTCCCAGTGTTTTTGGTCTTGTTTGAATAATGTTGGCTTAATTTGGAGTATTAATAGAAAGGGATTTGCACCAAAATTATCGAAGAACAATGAACTTGAACAAGAACCGCATACGGCCACGGGAAATAACGACCAGTCTGGATGCAAGATGTTATATTTTGGCCATATTTGCTTGGTTGCATTAATAAATATTCGATACAAAGAGTTTAAAACCCATGAAATTTGGTATCAATTAAATAAAAAACTCAAAGGTCCTCGCGGGTTAACAGCTCGGCATGATTTCCTGATCTCCCCTTGTGTTCCCGTGAGAGCTTGGATGACACCCATCTTAACCATGGCCTGACCAAACTTGGTGGCGAAATCGGACGAACGAGCAATGGCTGCAACCTTTGTCTTGCTCAAACGGTCCGACGCCAGCTGATGATCGAATTGGAGAACTCCCCTACGCATTATAATTTGACTGTAGAAAGATTTGTCCACGATTTGAGAGCTAAGAGGGTTTTGATCCAAATTTGCAGTGCGATCAACGGTTGCATTTTGAGGGCATGTACGCTTCAACGATGTTAACAGGGACAAATCCATTGTTGGGTCTGGTTTCCCGGTGTTGTTGAAGTTGTAGAGACGATCTTTAAATAAGGAACAATGAGCGATTCCGATAGAGTGACCACCTATATACAAAACACACCACATGTTAAGCTAAATGAATTGGATAATAAGCTCAATACTAATAACTTTCATCATGGTTTTAAATTGATTCGAAGGTTATTAGATCAGTCTGATGCTTTAAGCTTGGGGCATTACATAACGGCTATTAAGAATATAGTGAGTTAATTACCAAGAAGATAGATCATGTCGGTGGCGGTGAGTCCTTTTAGCGCAAATGCTCGGATGGCACTCCACCGATGAAGAAGGAGATGGGAGGGTTAAAGCACTTTGTGCAAGAGATAAAAATCCATCTCTTCTTCCTGTTTGCACATAGTATTTGCCTCCTCCACTCTGCATATATATATATATAGACGAAGTGTGAGAAAATTAATACCCATGAAGAAATAAATTGAACCATGGACCAAATGAAGTTTGCTCACCAAGGAAACAACATCTCTTGTAGCCATAACAATTATATCGGCACAAGAAACGACTCCAGGGCACACCCTCTCGACTGCGGCTTTCGCAGCATCAATGACATCGTAGCCTCTAACGCCCAAATTTGGTTGTGCAGTTTTCTCAGTGTTTCGCCCGTCTAGTAGAATCGACGCATCACATCCCTTTCATTTCATGCAAAGATCATATACATAATGATTAGGGTTTTCTGAAACAAAATATGTTTAAATCTTCTAATATACTGCTTTACAAGAGTTAAGTTTATATAGATCCAAATATTGAACTCCTATAAAGCCATCTACTGAAATATTCAGATATATTTGACGTCCTATAAAGCCAATTTTTGATATTGAAACGGCTTACGTTGACAAAACAATCATGGAACTGCATACGAATGAGAGCTGGAGCGATTGTTTTGTCACGGAGAAACTTGGAGAGGACAGTTTTTCTTACAATATCTTCAACATCTGAAAATCTACACTTGCCATTGTAGAAGCCATAGCGGAGATCGCCGGCGTAGCAGTGGCCGGTGAGGTTCAAGAAGATGAATGCAATTGTTGCTATAAATGCAATTGCTTTATTGTTTGCCATCGACATTTTCTTATACAAATTCATAATTGAATCCGATTGATATTTATAAGGATGAGATATGAAGTCGAAGAGATTTTTGATTGAATGGCTTTCACATCGTGCTTCTTCTAAAGATTATTGAGCAGGAGAGATCGTGTCGGCATATATATATATATATATAAAGTATATTATATTGAGTTGGCGAAGTATCATAGAGAAATTATAGTAAGAAGCGTAAGAAGACATCTGAACTTCTTTTAATCTAATGTCCACCCTCGAATTATGTTTTAGAAAAGAATTGATTCGGTGCATTTTACTGCATCTCACTAGTGTTGACATTTAATTAGGATTTATCAAGTGCAGAGATCTCTTTTTTCACTTCTCACCATAACTTCTCTCTTACCGGAACCCAATCCTATATATTAACATACAAGCATGATCAAGAGAGAAAGACAATCATTTTACAAGAAAACTACAAGTTTTAATATCACATGTGATTACAAAGTAAAATCACATTTGATATAAACATATCTGAAAGAACGTGAGCGACACAAGGGTCACGGGAAAGTCCGCTCGCTTTATGGCCGGTCAATGCAATATGTTTGTACCACGTGTGATTACTCGTGTTTTATATCACATGTAATTACATGTGAACTTGTAATTCCTCGTGTTCTCGTAAATTTATTGCCTTGTCAATTGATCCTGTCTTTATACATTCCTAAACATTCAACTATATTTATTTATTTATTTTTATTATTATTATCGAAGGCTTAACAAATTCATGCATTTAAAAACAAAAAGTGTATGTAAAAGTTTGTGAAAGTGAAGAAAAATTTGATTATAAAGGACGTTCTCGCATTATCGTAAAATGGAGGTGTTCTCTTTTGAACCTCCACCTATATATATACACACACCTACCTGAACTCGATAAGTAAGCGATAATGTTAATTTTACCTATAAGTGCTTACCGGGTAAGTGTTTAGGTAAACGGTCCCTAAATTTCCTTCCAAATCCTACAACCCAAACAAAATTTATAGAAGACTGGTATTCAATTTCATATTAAACCCCGTAAATCAAACACATTAAACATTCCAAATCCATCCAATTCTAAAACCCTCCCAGTTTCATATCATTCCACAAAATTTAAATCCATCAAAAATATTCCGTTAAACCAAACGTGTCTTAAATGTATTTCATTTCAAAAATCCAAAGTAAAAATATGAATGATATTGTTTGACATAAAGTTTATAACAACGTACATCAATCAGTCATAGAATAAACAAATACAATAGAAACCCGAGTATTCAAGGTGTCGATCGAGGTGCAACTCATCAAATAAAATGACACACGCACACACACATATGTGTAATAAATTAAACCCATGAAATTAAATTTATTTTCATCAATTAATCAACAAAGAACTCAAAGTCTGCGAGTTGACTGATCGGCAGGATCTCCTGATCTCCCCTTGTGTGTCTGTAAGAACTTTGAGGGCACCCAACTTAACCATGGCTTGACCAAACTTGGTGGTGAAATCAGACGAACCGGCAATGGCTGCAACCGTCGACTTACTCAAATTATCCAATGCCAATTGTTGATCGAATTGAAGGACTCCCCTACCCTTTATAATTTGACTATAGAAAGATTTGTCAACAACTTGAGAGCTAAAAAGGTTTTGATCAAGATTTGCAGTGCGATCAACGGTTGCACCCTGAGGGCATGTACGCCTCAACGATGTTAACAGGGACAAATCCATTGTCTGGTCAGGTTTTCCGGTGTTATTGAAATTGTAAAGACGATCACTAAATAATGAACAATGAGCAATTCCAATAGTATGACCACCTATGCACAACACACACACACATTGAATATAAATCTTATACAATAAATATCAACCAAATCTGATCTGGTGCTTACTATGAATGTATAATAAAATCAAGTTTCTAGTACGTAATAGACTGTTTTATAGGATTTCAGTTTATATCATTTGTTACAATAAGTTTATAAGATATTTTTGGACGTATTAATAAATTTTTTCTTATGTATAATAAATTTAAGTCTTATAAAGCAGTCTATTTATGATATTTAGACATTTTTAACGTCTTATAAACTAATGAGAAGAATTACCAAGAAGATAGATCATGTCAGTAGCAGTGAGGCCTTTGCTAGCAAAAGCTTGAATGGCTCTTGATACTGATATAGAAGGAGATGGGAGACTTAATGCATTTTGTGCAACAGATACAACTCCATCTCTTCTTCCTGTTTGCACATTGTATTTGCCTCCTCCACTCTGCATTAATTTATTAGTTATAATTAATTTTCATGGAAATCGAAGAAAATAAGTCATTTTCAGGGAACAAATTCATCTCTTGGTCATTTTCTAGCGGAGGTTTTTAAAATATCACTACCTACACAAGTGACACCTCTATGACTTGCGAAAAAGCTAAAAGACAAAAAATTCAGTTTTCACCCAAATCCGCAAGTGGTGAAAATTGAAAAAAAAAATCCAATTTTCACCCACGTCGGTAAATGGCACCTCCGGAAGTGGGTGAAAAGTGAATATTTTTTTGTCTTTTATCTACTCCACAAGTCATGGAGGTGTCATTTGCTGAGATAATGATATTTTTCAAAATTCTTGTGAAAATTGACTAAAAGATGAATTTGATCCCTGAAAATAGCTATTTTTATTAATTTTCTTAATTTTAAAACATGTAAACTATTTATTAACATAATTATAGTTAATTTAATTATATGGAATTCTAATTAATTAAACGCGAATAATTAAGGTATAAATACTCACCAAGGAAACAACATCTCTTGTAGCTATAACAATTATATCAGCACAAGAAACGACTCCAGGGCACGCCCTTTCCACCGCAGTTTTAGCCGCATCGATGACATCGTACCCTCTAACACTTAAATTTGGCGATGCGGTCTTCTCACTGTTGGTTCCGTCTAGTAGAATCGAGCCATCACACCCCTAAGTTTACATGTATATCATATGTAAAGGTGTTGCGTCACAGTGTCATAACAAGATTTTAACAGCACTTTCAAAATAAAGCGTTCTACATTACACTTCTTAAAAATATTAGCAGTTTATTAAGACATTTAGACTACATAATTTGAAAAACAAATGTACGAACTTACATTAACAAAGCAATCATGGAACTGCAAGCGAAGGAGAGCCGGGGTGATTGTTCTATCGTTAAAGAACTTGGAGATGACTACTTTTCGTACAATATCCTCAACATCTGAAGCTCCGCATTTACCGTTATAGAACCCGAACTGAAGACCTCCATAACAGTAGCCAGTTAGGTTCATGAACAAGAACATGATCATGAACCCAACTGCAAATGACCTACCACTCATGTTATAAATGTCTTAATGAATAAGCTAATTGAATTGAATTGATTGAGTTGAGAAACAAAGAAACGACTGATTGGTATTTATAATTAAGTAACAAGAAAGAAATCACCAATTACTACTAATTGAAAATGGGTTGCACGTTGTGCTTGTGTTTTTGGAGACGTGCATTCATGTGGATATTATCACTTAATTAAATTTCTGAATAGGTCTTATTTTTTTTGTAATTTCAAAATTGTGGAAATTAAAGATCGATTTCGTTCACCATAAGAGTGGTGTTTGATTGGTTTAAGCTTGACTCCAAAGGTCAAAAGTATTAGGAGGTACCAGGTTCAAATCCAAGAAGAAATAAAAATCGCATTGTGGCCACGGAGGTTCAAATGCGGTGACTCCGGGCTATCTGCAAAGCAGGTGGTTGCCCTGAGATTAGTCGGCTCGCATAGCGGGTGGGATATCCAGGTTAATCAAAAAAAAAAATCGAGTTCATCATTAATATTAAGAAATTACTTTATTATAACATCTCAATAGATCCTTTTGTTTTAACTGATTCTTTAAAACCTTCTTAAAATATGAAGAAATGAGAAGAGATTACGAGAATCTTCAAAAATGATTGTTTAGGAAAAATAATTTTTATTATTATTTTTCCTGCCAACGAGAATTTTTAAATTAAATGTTTATAAGAGTGAAATAATATTACATTAACGTTGTGTTCTCGAAACTTTTTTTACTAGCTTTTTTCGAAAATACGTTAATTTCCAAATCGGGTATACCCCCAATCAGACATGGATTCTAGTTGTAAGATATCAAATAAAACCGTCGCTAGAATTGAGATATTATTCAAAGAGAAATATCTCAAATATCTGGAGTTTTTCTTTTTATATTATAGGGATGATCGAGTCCTCAAGGACCATCACTGGGAATTGTTTGATCGTCTTTCTCTGAAGAAGAGACAAAATAAAATCAATTTGAATTCGGGACCACTATTCGAAATCTTAGTGAAACACTGGATTTGTTATCTCATGTCGGCTTTTCGTGAAAAAAATACCAATTGAAGTGGAGGGTTTTTTCAAACAACAAGGGTTGGGTCAACTATTCAATCAAATGATATTGAGCATGCTTCCCATCTCTTCTCCATAAACAAGTGGGCTATTTCTTTGCAAAATTGTGTTCGATTTCATATGTGGCAAGATCTCTTCGTTAATTGGGGACCAACAAGAAACAAGCTTTGGCAACACAGTTTTAGCAACGACATGTTTTTAGACATAAACTATAACGACGACATGTCGTAGCTATTAAACCTCTCTGACGACAAGTTTAATTTTTACCTTCCGAGATAAGGACCTCAGGTTTTTTTTTTTTTTTTTTTTTTAAAATTAATAACGGAAGTTTGGCAAGATTGGAATTGTTGTGCAAACGGAGACGAAACCGGATTTGTGCAACTCTACTAGGTGGCTTTTTTAATGGATCGTGTTGATTTTTAACTGAAAAGATTCTTATTCGATTCAAATGCATGAAAACCGAGAAGAAATAACGAATAATTCTTTGCTTATATGCCAAGCGATAATACACGTACCAATCAAAGCTTTAAGAAACTAAAGGTGGTCGATATTCGAAAACCATATATTCTGAAACAAAAAGAACGGAACATGTATTCATATATGAATATGAAGAAAGTTATGGGATTAAGGATGATTACATCTGTATTAATGTTGTTTTTTGTATGTCTTCACCTTCACGCTGCTGCTACCAAGGAACAGCTTATGGTGCACCAAACTACAATGATTTCCGTTGATAGACGCGGTGGAGGTGGTGGTCATGGTGGTGGAGGTGGTGGTCATGGTGGTGTTGGTGCTCATGGTGGTGGTTCCCGCGGAGGCGGTAGAGATCCAGGAGTTGTTGTGATCCCTGTATATGCAGGCGCTGGTGCCCACCGACAGAATCGAAATAGGCATGGTCGGAATGATGGCGGCCGCCGTAACACCGCCGCTCTCCCCCAGTTGGCTTGTACTATACTGGCTTTCGTCCTTTTACTATGTTTTTAAGCAACATGTTGGTGACGATTTTTCTATTAAATCTTGAGCTTATATTTATTTGTTTATACAAATTTATCATTTATTTATATCATTTTTCGTAGGTATAAATATAGTTTTGGTATATGTTTGAAATAATAATAAATGATTAAAATGTTTTTATACTTTTTTTTAAATTAGAAATATTATATAATGATACAAATAACGATAATATTGATTGATGGTAGCGACGTTGTGGTGGTGGTGGAGGCGGCAACGATGGTGGTTGTGGCGGCAGTGGGCGGTGATGACCAAAATGGTTGAAGTGGTGGAGTTGGTGGTGGCGGTTATAGATGGCCAAAATTCGGTCCCGGGGCAGACTTGATCGGGCCCAAATAGGTCTCGGTCCCAAATACTATTCCTGTAACCGGTCCCGGTCCCAACCAAAACCAAAGGCCCGATTAAGTTTCCTCGTAAGTCGTAGCTGGTTATGAGAACCGGTCCCGGTCCCGGTCCCAGTCCTGGGGAGGGCCCAAACCGGTCCTAAGGTTTTTTTTTTTAATTCGATTTTTCACATATATATATTTTTTAATTTTTTTAAAGAATACAAAATTGTTATTCTAATATACTTAAAAATATATAATTTGGTCAATCAAATACATTTAGAGAGAGAGAGAGAGAGAGAGAGAGAGGAGAAGTAGGATTTGTTAAAAACCGAAATAGAATACGAACCGAAATCACGAACTATAGCTAGAAATTGTGAATGTTTTTTTTCGTTTGTGGGTTGGTATCTCCCTCCACACACCATATAACTTATATATAGTGTATAAAAGCTAAATTAGACAAAAAAATGTCAAAATGGAAAAAAAACGGTCATATGAACATTGGAGGACAACTGAACGACTATGTTTTAAAAAATCTGGCCGATCCCAATCCGATCCTTATTTTTTTTACTAAAACCATAACCGGCCCTTAACTGACGGTCGTAAATCAGCCCCGTTCTGCATCGGGTCCATTTGGCTATCTCTAGTTGTAGTGATTGGATAACCCTTTAATAATAAAGCATTAAACTCGTGATGCGAGACTTATCCAAAAAATATAAGGGTTAAATGCATGAAATAGCAATGTACTTTCAAAGTCAATATACAATGGGGTGGCATGAAAACCTGGTATAATGGATAAATTTAAATCAAAAGGTTACCCATGCTATAATGGATAAATTTTTTAAAGTACAATGTTCTAATAAAAAATAGTTTGAAAGTACCTTGCTGTATTAAGAAAAACTTGAAGTACAATGCTATAATAAAAAAATTATGAAAGTAAATTGTTATTTTATGCATTTTGTCCAAAAAATAATATAATACATGTAGTTTCCGCCTAACTCTTAGAAAGATCATAAAGCCCAGAGAGTTTAGGCCCAATATATCCAGTTTTTCATATGGGCCAACTGGCCTACCAAAACCAAGTACCAACCGGAGAAACAATCGTATTTATATTATTATTATTATTATTATTATTATAAAATAGATCGAATACGAGATATGATTTCGCCAAACTCCAAAACGTCCTCTCTCGAGGAATTGGCCACATCCGCAACAACTTTTGCATCTGTCTCAAATATAACCCGAGTGAATCTCAAATCAATCAACCATGACATTGCATAAGAGGACACTAGAGAATTTCACTCATCGAAACACCGGTCCAAATATAGCACCTACAAGCTCTCCTTGGGCATCATGAAACACCACTCAAATCCGGCATTCACAATGTTCAAGACGATTGTCGCATCGGTATTACATTTAATAAAACCATAGGGTGGAATGTCGTAAATGACCACACTCTGAGACATCCATAGACAGGAGACTAACTGGTGTTGCAACTCATTCTCAGTTCTCACTGTTATTTCCAGAGTCTTTGGACCATCTTACCACAATACATCATATAATATTTTATTTAAAATTTTAAAATATTCAATAAGTATTAATGTATATCTTTTAAAAATTGAAGAATATATAATTATTTAAACCATCAATTTTTTTTACATATTCATCATTTAATTTAAATTACTTTTCTTATAATAATTTTTAAATAAAACAAAATTTAATAATCTTTAATTTTACATTCATATTTATATATATGTTTTTGGAATTTTTTTAATCGGATCTTAAAATCAACAAATCATATTTAATCATAATTTATAATTTTTGCATTACTCAAACATAAACTATATATTTCTATATTAATAAAAAGTTGTACTGATTTACAATAAAATTTTATATCTTAACCAATGTTTTTTGGATAACGTTATTTATATTATTATTTTTATGTCAGTAACATTAATATATGTGAGAAATAAATTTATTGGTAATGGCACATTTAACAATATATATCGTATTGACTCAATAACTTCGAATTCAACTTAAAGACATGGTGAAAGTTATTGGAAACCTACAATTTGATGTTTATGAGGATATTACAAATCTCATTTTCTATTCATGTGGAACGAGTTGTTACAAACTTCCGCACTTAAATTTTTGACGTTCTCGTTAGGCTTGCACAAAATCTTCCTCTTTGTAATAGTCGATGTGAGATCCATCTAAGATGTTGCAACCGGGGACTCATCGTACCTGATTAGGTTTGGCCCACCCCATCTTGATGGTACAAATTGTAAGATCTCACAACGGTTGGAAAAGAGAACAGAGGTTGCCTTATAGGATACGATTGGTGTGGAGATAGGATAAAACATAGCATGATAGAACAGTTGTTCAACGTGTGGTAAGACTGAAGTGGATAAAACAGAACGAGTAAAGTGACCAATTTACCCCGATTGAGTTGTTCATATATTTTGATTAATTTATGTAATTTATAATAAAATAATTATTTTTAAAAAAACCACTAGAAAGTTTTTGTTAAAACAATTAAAATGACACCAAAATAAACAGTCTATGTAGTTTCCAATTTTTATTTTATCCCATTTTTACATTATTTTCTATTACTAATATATCATAAATTAATAAAATATAAAAACCGTATAAAAATAATATCTTCAGTATAGTAAATAAAATTTAAAAAATAAATAAAATGTAAAAATGAAGCCTATTTGGTATTTTAGAAAATAATTAAGTTTTGCTTTGAAATTATATTGATAAAATAGAAGCTGTTGCACATTGTTCCACCATATTCCATGGGGTAAGGTGGGATAGGCTTCATCCACTCTCTTTCGTATAAAAATCTTGTCAAACGTAGAACATAAATTCATGTTCTATTCTGTTATGTCTTACATACCAGACGAACCCATAAAAAATAAAACACCTTCTATATAAGACGTGTTTTAAAATCATGAATCCAAGTATTTAAACAATATCTGATCCAATAACTATGTATTAATTTTGTTGACACATATATAATATAATTGACACTAACTTTTTATGTTCTTTATATATGATTTAAATCTGATTGATATATATATTATTATATTCAAACCAATTCAATCATTTGATTACAGTTTACAGTTTCAAATGAGAAAAAAAAATTAAAAATATATCAGAAATATAATAAACAAGACCCACCCACTCACCCAACCCCCCCAGGGTCTCTATCTCTCTCTCACACACACACACACATACGCATTACACACATAAATCAACCACAGTTTTCGTCATCAATTAAAGACCCAATTAAACAATGAATCCAAGTTCATGACACTCACGTCCTCCTTCCTTCTTCCCTCTCTAATTTTCATCTTCAACCCTCCTCAAAACCTGCCCTCCACACTGCGACACCCCATTATTATATCATTTCCATCTCTTTTACCCCCAACACTCGAATCTCGAAACCGTATTATTTTACTAAAGAATCTCTGCAAATCCAAACATACAAAACCCCATTTCTTGTTTCTTGCAGCCATGACAGAGGTTCTCCACTCGCCCTCTTCCTCTTCCTCCTCCTCTTTACAAGCCCACGACGCCACATTGTTCCGTTCTGTAAATCAAGAACCAGAAGAGTCGGGAGAAGGGGTTTCTAGGGTTACAGGTTGTGAGGAAGAAGAAGAAGAAGAAGATGATGATGATGATGATGATGATGATGATGTGAAGGATAGGAGAGATAGGGATAATCAACAGTTGTCTTTGTTAGCACTCTTGTTGACTCTTTTCAGGAAATCTTTCTGGGTCTCTTCTTCTTCTACCAAGAACACAGTGGCAGAAGAAAGGCTGGATCTTCCTGGTATGGAGATTGGGTGGCCAACAGATGTCCGCCACGTCGCACATGTTACTTTTGACAGGTTTAATGGCTTCCTGGGTCTGCCTGTTGAATTTGAACCTGAAGTCCCCAGAAGAGCCCCTAGTGCAAGGTGCATTTCATTCTTGATCAATATTTACTGAAATTTATGCCTTTTTTCTTCATGGGTTTTTGGCAATTGAATGTGATTCTTTGGATTTCCATATCAAATGCTGCTAAATTTTACACTTTTTGGATAATGTGGAACTGGGGTTCTTGCAATCTTGTTTGATCAAAGAGATAACTAAGAATCTTGATTGAAGTTTTGGATCATCTTTGTGAATGTGTTCAATCTGTAAATCTATAAAACTGTAAAAAGAGATGATCATCAAGATTTGCAATCTTTCCATTTATAAAGATCCGTGGAGTTCATGAAATTTTGGTGCTTTTTTTGGAATCTTGATCTTGTTTTAAAGTTGGTTTGTTTGGATTTGTAGTGCTACTGTGTTTGGTGTTTCGACAGCATCAATGCAATTATCATACGATACGAGAGGAAACAGTATCCCCACGATACTCATACTTATGCAGCAACGGTTGTATACTCAAGGCGGCTTGCAGGTTCGTTCTCCGCCTTCTTTTTCACAGCAATCAACGAATTGGTGATCCACTTTTTCGCTATTCATGGTGAAAGAAACACGATAGTTTGCAGAACTGAATGATTGAGGAAAGGTTAATGCCTAAATAACACTTTTAGGGACAATCTGGTCCATTTGACACTTTGGCCCGGTCTGTATTAATCTTACCGAACACTATACAGACAACTAGTCCTGATTCCTTAAAACACGGTCGTAGCGTACAGAAATTGGACTCGATTTTCACATTGTAGAGCACATTTTGGTCCAAAAGCTAAAGTATCATATGCAGGCTGAAGGTATTTTCCGAATCAACGCAGAAAACGGCCAAGAAGAGCATCTGAGGAATCAGTTAAATAGTGGAATCGTACCGGAGGGTATCGATGTACACTGCTTGGCTGGCCTTATTAAGGTACGATTTCATATAAATATAGAGAGAGGAAAGTTCAGTTGCAAGCCTGATTTTCGTAGTGAACTAAGGGACAAACGAGAGCTCAACACGTGTCCTTATTTTATCATGAATAATGAAAGTGAATTTTTTACTACACTGTTCATGATGAATATCCTATGAATGTAAGGGACACGTGGTTCGCTCTCGTTTGTACCCCGGTTCACAACGGTACTTAGTTTTGCAAGTGAACTTGATTAGGAACCCACAATGCTGACACATGGCATATTATCAGGAGTATGGACGTGTTATTCATTATGAATGTGGTAATATATTTATCATGAATGTGTGATTCATTATGAATAGCACATTAATATTCATCATGAATGTATAATTCATGATGAATATTCATCCTCAAGAGGGACACATGCTGTGGGCGGTTCCCAGGTTCCTAACGGAACTTTCCTATATATATTTATAATATGGCAGTTAACGTTTTCTAGGATCAGTTATTGCTTAGGATCCAAATGATATTTATAGAAATGAATCCATGAAAAATATTACAGGCTTGGTTCAGGGAATTGCCTACTGGGGTCTTGGATCCTCTTTCACCTGAGGAGGTAATGCAGTGTCAATCGGAGGAAGACTGCTCCACCCTTGTCCGCCTGCTGCCACCCACGGAAACCGCCCTGCTCGATTGGGCCATCAACCTGATGGCTGATGTTGTCCAACATGAACATCTCAACAAGATGAATTCACACAATATCGCAATGGTTTTCGCTCCAAATATGACACAGGTTCGTCTGCTTATTTTCGTTTTTGCATATGAATATGATTCTTTTTTGTATGAATTGGTTGAATTACTGTGCAGATGGCGGATCCATTGACGGCATTGATGTATGCCGTTCAAGTAATGAACTTTCTGAAAACACTCATCACGAAAACCCTTCGCGAAAGAGAGGATCCCGTTATAGAACCGTCTCCAGCTCCTCCACAAGAACCGTCAGACGAAAACGGCCGCCAAGGCCCGCCGTTGAACCCACATCTGCAACAAAAGAATGATGAAGTTGAAGAGAAAGAACATCAATTCGTCGCTGAAGATGATCATCTTGGGTACTTAACCCCCACCGAAGAATCTGATGGACCCGGGTTCTATAAATCGCCGGTTCAGTCTCCTCCCGTCGAGCCAAAGAGCCAGGTTGATCATATCCATGAACCGAAACCGGCTCAATCGAGTAACCCAGATAAAGTTCAAGCTTTAGTGCAGGGGATGAGCAATCTGAGCTGTATAAACTCGCAAACGGAGAGGATCGAAGCATGGCGTTGATTGAAGGATGGGTTGAATTCTTGTGATTTGTTCTGTGTTTCTGCTGCATAGATTTCTTTTGTGAATTTACGAAATAACCAAGTAATAACCATTTTTCTGTTCGGTATTAATCTCTGTGAATTCGCTTGTCATTCAAGACGATTCTGGTAAATTTATCGTGTTTTCGACTGGAGATTCAATGTGTGTAAATGATTCGTATTTTTTTTATTCTTCTGTTAGGCTGAAACGTTCTTACGCACTTATTATGACGGGCGTACATGTAAGATTTCATATCAGTTGAAGACAAACAATTACATAGATATTCAACCCGTTATACAAGTCAATTAATCATAGCATTTGAACCTCTATGATCACGAAAGGATTTTTATGAGATGTGTGTTTTTTTAGATGAATATATGACCACATAAGAAAGAGAGAGAGAAAAGTCGATATCCACCCATCATCTCCTATTTAATCGCACCACTTGACTTCATCAACCCAACCACAAAAATTGGCTTCAACCCTGCACCTGCAACTGCAACAACAACCATAATACAGAGAACAGAACAATAATGGCAGCTGCATCTCCAACGTTTTCCATTATTCCAAATCCGTTCCTTAATTCTCAAATCAAATGCTTTCACCCTCCGCCTCCCTAATCAACCATAAACCAGATTTCAATCATCAACATTACACCATGAGTTTGGAGAGTTTATCGATCTGTACCGAAGGTCTAGGGTTTGAGAGCTTTGACGATGTGGAAGATCAATTGGAAACCGATAGCCATGAAGTGAAGCTTGGAACAACAACAACAACAACAACAACAACAACAACAAAGCGTGCGGCGGCGATATCGATGTTAGGCGATGGCGGGAAGAGGTCGAGGATCACCGGATCTGAATTGCCGCCACCGATTTCTTCGTTAGGAAGGAGTGGGAAGCCATGGGTGTGCTTGAAATCGTATCGAGAAAATGGAAGGTTTATTCTGAAGGAGGTCCGGATCCGAACCCATGAATCCTTACATGCGTCTCGAGAAGATGGACGATTGAAGCTCAAGTTTATTCAATTCGATGATGATGACGACGACGATGTCATCGCCTCACATTAATTAATTAATTAATACTAATAACTTTGATTATTTCCATCTAATTATATGATTAATTTTTATGAAAGGTTACCAATAATGCATTATGTGTTATTTCATATGTTTTTTTTCACTGAATACTAAAATTTAGAATATCCATTAACATATACTTGTTTCACAATGCGTTTTTATACAAAGGTCGACAGTTCAAATCATGTAAAATTATTTAGGATTTCCCCAACTGTTTTTAATAATCTTAAAATTAATTATGTAGCATGCATGATTATAAAAACAACAATTTTCAACTTGTTTGTGTCGTAACAAAATATTTATGGGCCATTTGATATAAAAAAATGTTCAAAATGAATAAAAATCCAAAGTTTATGGTTGTTCGATAATTGTTTCGAATTGTAAAAAATTTACCATTTAAATGAACTATTTATATATTCATAAGGTTACTTTTTATATACAATGACGGATTTAGATTTTTTTTTGAACGGGTGCATTTTTAAGGTCAATAAAAAGCCAACAAAGTCGTGGTTTAACCTAGGGAATAGTCAACATGGTTTGACTTGAGAATAGTTCAATTGTATCAATTTGATATAATACATTTTTACAAATAAAACCGACCTTGACTTTTTGAGCAAGACGCAACACTATGTCTTATACTTGGCGCATTCATGGCTGAATTCCACCTCTATGGAGGATTTTTTTGGTTGATTTCGTAACGGCCAACAAATGCAACAACAAAATATGATTTTATAAATTTCTTACATAAATATGTTTGATGACATCATGGATAGAGGAATAACCCATTGTTAAGTATTATAAAAAAAATTAAAAATAAAAACTCATACAAGGTATAAATTGTTAAATGTAACTAATTTTATTTTCATTTTCAAGTTATTTTGGATAAACATGTATTGTCATTAGAACGAGACAAAAAAAACAAATTCAAAATTAATTGGTAAATAGGAAGAAAAATACTGACAAAATAAAATTAAGATTGAGACAATTGTAAATGAAAAAAATAGTAGTAGTTGATTGGTAATAGGCATGGCAACGATGGGGTGGTTTTGTAATCCCCGGTCTCCGGCGGGTACGGGGATTAACATCTTGTCCCCAGTCAAACATATGTCAATCTTCGGTCAAACCCCATAAATAATATTTTTTTAATTTCATTCTATCGGGCATCCCCGACCCCGGGATCCGTTTTAGCGGGGAATCCCCGTCCTCGTTCGGGTCCGGTGAACCAGGTTCCCCCACCAGGTCGGGGCAAATCACCATTCCTAATTAGCAAGACTTTGTTATTTTATAGTTAAAGATTTGAACCCACGACTTTAAAGAAAGCAAGTAGTACCCCAACCATTCCAGCAATCCCACTCCCCCGTTTCAAATAATGTTCTAAAAACATATAAGAAAACACTTCAAAATTAAGCGGCTATATAGTTACGACATATGAAAAAATTCATTACGACGGGACGATCGAGCGGGTGCACCCTACTCTATGAGTAGGTACTTCATATAATTGGCCCACATTTTAGGAGTTCTTATCTTGAATATTTTGTGAAATGGTATTTTATTAGTTTTTCATATATATTTTTACTTTAATATTCATATTATAGGTGTATTATTTATTCATATTATAGGTGTTGAAATAATACATGGGACTAGTAAAACAAGGTACTTATTAATAATTACTATTGTAGAGTTTTACGGTGTTTATAATTTGTTGAGTTGATGACGATGTAACCAAAAAATTATTTACAAGAAGGTATTTATAAGAGCATCCACAACGGTATATAATTGGAGGATCATGGACCTGTGCTTGAAAAAACCAAAACCATCGGGATTTAAATAATTTTTTGCTCCAATAGATCCTCTAAAAAAAATTCATGATGGAGAAAATAAGAGAGATGGTGCAAAAATATCCAAATTTGGAGAAATCCTCAAAATAATTACCATGAGATAAAATTTCGTAATGATGATGAATGAATGCTAATTATATAATTTAGATGAAAATTTCGTAATGATAATGAATAAATATGTGAAAATATATAAATTTATCTATAAATTCAACACTATAATTTTTCTAATAGGAAATATAGACAATTTAAACAAATTCAGACATTTATCCGTTTACAAAAAAAAATCTTATTGATTCAGATTTCAGCATCACCTTTTATTAATCAAAAGTGAAATAAGACTTCAGACTTTAACACCTCTTAAAAAAACAAACACCACCTAAAAATATCTTCAACAACTATATTTAAATAAATATATTTTTTTTCACTTTAAGTAAACGCCATAGAATATCTATGTAAAGTTTTGAAGAGACAAAAATAGACATGGTTTCAAAACTTATATCTTGACCCCCACAAAATTAGAAGATTTGCAAAGAGGTCCAAAGATTTACAGGTAGATCCAAAAACACGTGATTTGAACACATCGGTTTTGAATGAAAAAAGAAAATGGTACAAGTGAAGGGCACAAAGTACGATCAAGGAATAGCCAATTAGGTTTGATCCGTGAACAACAATGGCCCATCACATGTGAACTTATAACCTAACAAGATTTATTACCCACATGCATATCCTCCTATTCAGACACGAATCATTGTGGCCCCAAATCATACCACTTCCCATATAACTCCAAACAACTCATATCGTATGTCTTCTTCTAGGCCATACAGACAGTTTTCAGCCTTTCAATAGTCATATAACAACAAACTGGCCCCATTAAGCCATCCTTGGACCAATGTACTTACTCCGTTTATGTGGCCGTTAAGGATGTGTTCGGTACGTAGACAGAACTGGACTAGACAAATGTGTGAAAGATAGACGGATAAAAGAATTGTCAAAAGGCTTTAAGGGTGTGTTTGGTGTCCGGACAACATAAATACTATTCAACGTTTGGTAGAACCTAACTAGGCAACACAGAACAAATAAGATAACCAATTTACCCCCAATTAGTTGTTTATATTTTTTATTTTAATTAACTTATGTAATTCATTAAATTATAATAAAATAAATATTTTATAACAAAATATATCATTAGAAACTTTTCGTCAAGATGATTAAAATGACTACAAAATAAAAGGCTTATGTATTTTCTAATATTTTCTATATTATTATTTAATAAATTACATAAAATAACCAAAATATAGAAACCGTATAAAAATAAGATTTTGAGAATGGTAAAATGAAAGTTTACAAAACATAAAATACAATAAATAAAATTTAAATAATGAACAAAATGTAAAGAGGGAGATGTATTTGATGTTTTAGAGGAGAAATAGGTTTTAGTTTTGAGGTTATGTTTGTAAAGTATAGGTATGTTCCACCTTGTTCTATAGGGTGGGAGTGAAACATGTTTGTTCCACATGAAAGTCCTGTCAAACGTGGAATAATGATCCTTGTTCTGTTATGTACTATCAACCAGTGTACCAAAAGCACCCTAAAGTTTTAATTTATCATGGATAGTTTAGTAATCAACCAATCTTGTTTTATCTTCCTAAATTTTGTTCCAGAAAAAGTGCATGTGTCCCACCCAAGTTTAATGTCGCGCCATACATGGGACAACAGGTTTTTGTACTATCACGTCTCCAACGCAACCCACAGCACAATGAGGCAGCACACTTCTAAAACCCATCCCATTATAACCCTAGTAACAAGTAAAGAAATCAAAATAACAAAACTATTTATTCATTTACGAATGTGGAACAATTTTAAAGAAAACTAAGGTCTTACAAAGTACTACTTCATAGTAACATTTAACTGAACAAGGCAATTTGCAGACAGGTCAATTACAGTAGTCATGAGGCAGATTCTTGATGCTGGGGCATGATTTGTTCTAAGAGATGTGTATGATACGAAGTTTTCTTGCAATGTAAATATGCAATGAAATAAAACATGATGTCTGAATCGTAAAATAAACAAATACATAACTACAAAACACAAATCATGTATTTGGGTCTTAATAGTATGTTGAATTAGCTCTTAATCCCACCAATTGTATATATCCAGGCATTTTAGATTACAGAAAACAGCACCAATATTGCTCATACGATCATGTAATTCTTATTCGTTTATTAGTCTTGAATTAAGAGAGACGGTTGAGAGGGACTTCGAAGCAAGTACCTATATGTCTGTGGGTCTTTAATCATGAAGCTCTTCGGTCTTTTTGTCCTTGGACAAAAGATACCATCCAAGAGCACTAAGGCCAGTTACAACGCCAGCTACAACTGCATAGTTCCTGTGATCGTCTGTTGATACTCCAGTTTTTGCGGAAGTGGACTCGCTTGCTTTTGCTTCAGCTCCAGTACCTGAACCACCTGCATTTGCTGCGGGTGTCTCTTCAGGTTTAGGGCCCTGAATCACCAAGCACAAATGTCAAAGATCGATACATGCGTAGCCAGTTCTGTAACTTCACTGCATCAACTTAGTATTATGCCAAGTGTAGACGGCATGTAGATTGCATGAAAATTGTAACATTTGAGTCAACACCGAGTTTGAGTGAAGTGTTTGACTATCAACCATATGTCTAAAATACCCTTTGATATTTACAAATAGGAGAATCTTGTAGACTCAGATCAACATAACTGATTTTTTGTAATGTAACATTGGAGATTTTCAGTTTTAAAGTTGCCCATAAATATGAAATGCTGCAATTTTTCATGAAATGGAGAGTATCGAGACGGAGAGTGAGAGAGAGAGAGAGAGAGACCTTTTGTGCAAGCTTCTCCAATTTCTCTCGCTCAGTTTTCTGCAGGAGCAATAGAGAAACTTAGATAAGGACAAAAAGAATATAATCTGATTATCCGAGTGTTAAAGGCATACAAACAGATATCATAAGAATCATAATCTGGCCTTATGACTATATAGAATAAAAAAAATCAAAATTCAAGTGACTAGACCTGCAGAAAGCATTCGTCCAGAGGCGGGTTTTGTAAATTAATCAAATAAATTAAGCCACACATGACAGACATATAATAAACAAAATGTCGGTTGAGTAAGGGAATAGGCACATGGAAAAGGGATCAAGGCATTATTGTGGCTGGTAATGATAAAAAGTTTAAAAAGATACAGGGATTTTGCTCACAGATGACTATAACCTCAATATTCAAGTATTTGTGTTACAGTGGCTGGTCAACATGTTAACTCGGGAGTTCCAAAATGTGAACTTTGGCAACTAGGAACCTTTATATACCTCAAAGACATATCAAGGGGTGTAATAAAAGGTGATCTAAGATGGAAAGATAACAAACATTTGATCCAATATGGCCATGAATGCAAGCAACATGGAGATGAGAGAAACATTTTGTTACATTGGGGACTCTACTGTTATTTGAGTAGCATAGCCACGGAGCAATTTGGTAACATGCCATATAATAGCACCCATACACTTCAAATATGTATTCAGACTGCCCTCTCTTTTTCTGTAACATTGTTATTGATTAGGTCGTCATAGGTTAGGTTTTGTATCCTCTCCAACAAGAAAGGGAACTACTCTTTGCAACATACATATGCAACCAAAAAGACGATAAGAACCAGAAAATCAACATTATGAGCCTTGGACCCACACCAAACTTATATTTAAGAAAGGGTTGAAGTGCAAAAGGTAGATGAAAGTGAACTATTTCTCTCACAAGGGAGGTTTCTCTTGCTCAATTCCATAAGAACATGACTTCTTGGATCAAACTGATTTTTTTGCAAAGGGTCATTTATCAATATCCTTTTAAGAGACTTCATTACTTGGTTGTCGCATAGATATCCTAGCCACATGATATGTAAAGATACATGCACTCAGCTATTGATCACATGAGCTACCCTTTGCTATATACATACACATCAAAAGCGACCATAAGAACCAGAACCCATACGATTCTGACATCTAGGATCAAACTAAACTTTCGCAACGGTTAGCACATACCTTCCCAAGGATATGTATAGCATGTGCATTGTAGCATAACACAGCTGAAACATACAACTAAATCAAAACTCATCAACTCATAAATTGTAGTGACCTAGGCACGTTACTTGGAAACCTACTTGAACTTATTCAACCTCTCCACATCAATTATCCAGGTAAGAACTATGAACAATTTGTCATCTTTCATACATTAGGCTGTCCATCTCCATCTTACAAAAAGTTGAGGCCTAGATAAAAAGAAATAAGCCTCGGACTTGAGGCTCGCCTACTATCAGCATGACCCTGCCCCTTGTGTTTGATTGGAAACACACATAATGCACTTGCATTCGAAGCTCAAGGCTAAACAAAAAGAACAAGAAGAATTAAAAACTATACAGTTTGTGATCATTTGTGGGGGTTGTCATTTCATCCACTGTTTCTGCAACCAACTAAACCAATTTTAAACCATTATACTGAAAACCATATATAATCATGACAATGTTTTTGCTCCTTAGAGACAAAAGGAAAGATGATGTCCAACTACGTAGCTTTTCTTATTGTTCCTTCAAAGTTTTCAAAGTATATCTTTAGTTTCTAAGTTTAACTTTTTAACAGTAGACTGTGCTCTGCAAATGTTCTGAAATTGTTTCACACTACCATTTTTAATGCAATGTCATTAAAATGGTCGGAAATAATGCAAGAACTAACTGCTTCAGAAAGAGACAATTCGTTGAGACAAAAAAATAACAAAGTCCTATAATAAACGCTTCAGAGAACAACAAATTCCTTCGAAAATTTCCTTACATATATATACACACTTCAAGCAATTACAAGTTTGTATACATGTAGCTACCTAGTTTAATTGATTGATTAGGAGAGAGTTCAAGGAGAATCTGTGCGTAGATATGTGTCACTAGTGATAAAGTGATTCTCATCCCAATGACTAAGAATAGCATGTGAGGGCCCCTAATATCCTTCATATAAGCACCTAAACTAATAAGCCAACCAAGTAAGTTTGTGAAAACAATTCCAAAAGCAACTAGAAACATCAAGTAATCAATGCAAGCTTGCAAACACCTGAAATGAGCTACAGCACAAAGAAAAGATAAGCAGAAACTTTGAAATCATGTAATCTCATGTTAAGGATATATCAGAAGGAAATGAAATTATTAGGTGGAAGAATGACGAGTATCATATACAGATTTTCGTAACAAAAAGTCCATGTCATGTGTGTTGAGCATGGAACAGCCAAAGCAAGTTCACAGTATGATCATCTGTAAGTTACTCAGAGCTTGCACCAGTCGCAATAAATAAAGAGTCACCTTGATGTAGACATTCTCTGCAGCCTTCTCCTCCTCACCAAGTACTTTGCCACCAGTTGAGAACCTGCGAGATACATATCTAAACACCTGTCTTGTTGCCATGGTAAGGTGTCTTCAACCGCTATCACTTCAAAAATAAGAAATAAAAAGCATAATCCACCATAAGTTTGAATGATAAATCTTTTCTCAAACAATATTGATTTGAAATAGCAGCTAGTTAATTCAGTAATGATATGCTTATTTCAACAATTCTTGATGCATGCCTCAATTATGTATGAAAAACTTCCAAGCAATGCAAAAACAGACTCGGGAAGTTTTTTACTAAGGATTATATTACACTTCACCCCACATGGTCATAAACTTGTGTGAAAGTAATTCCAATTTATGCCGGCTATGCCTAAGTGAAACTTTGCTAAATAACATAGAACAATTGCATGTCAAGGAGATAACTGTCCACAAATGGTCACACCATGAATTAAAACTTAACCAAATTTCCATTTCCCACTACCGTTCGTTTATCCTACATGAGTATGAGTTTGTGTGAACCAGGAGGAAGCACTAATAAACCCTATATGCGATTTTGCCTCATTCGCAATAAATCATGTTTATGTGTTTCCTAAGTGGACAAGTGCAACTCATCAATACATTCACTGTCTTCAGACAAAAATGCCATTGACTTATAATCAGCATTCGAGCAAAATCAATTTTGAAATGAGTTCCAATCTTGACAAAGAAAATATTCGACTACCAATCCTCCTAATCACCATGTAGCTGCAAATGCAATAACTATTCACACACACATCGAGAATGTGGTGGAGCCGATTCCCTCGTATGTATTTTACTTTTGCACTGAGTAACTGAGTAAATTTGCCCTACCCTTCCTCACAGTTTTTGAGGCACACACGTGTGTGTATGTGCATCAAACATGAACACATATTTGGTAAGTCCATCGGAGATCATTTTTAACAAAGCAAGCTTATGATTTGTAATCAGACTGTAGAAATTAAAATGTAGAAGAAACTGAGTATCATCGAACTAAATTGTTAATCTACACAATGAATCTGCATCGAGTATCTAGATTTGCAGGATAACCGTGAAAAAATAAGATCATAACAGAGACGATACTTACCAGAGATAGATCGAGGTTTTGGGTTTAAAATTGGTCGGCTGGGAATTTGGAGCAGGAAAAGCGTGTCGTAGTCTCCGACTCCCCAAATTCAATCAGGAAAGAGAATACCGATCCTCACAAAATTCATCCAATTGGGCTTTCGGCCCAAGTGATCCGTGGTTCCGTACAATTTTCAGAAAAAGACAAAAAATTGTACAGACTTTTTGGCGGTTGCTGATGATTTTGTCGATAACGATTAAGTGATTAGTATAATTAAAAAACTCTCGTATATAATGCAAAATAAAATATAATTATTTGTTAATTGTTTATAATAAAATTAGAGCATTTAACGGTTAAGGGAGGCTCTTAGAGGGTTTTAGAACCATATCAAGTGGAACATGCTTTAAAGGTAGGATGCCGAGAAGGCATACTTTGTTTTTGTCAAACAAGATTCACCTCTTAACAGATTCAGATGTTGCTTTTTAATGAACCCATTAAGAGGTAAACAAACAACTCTTATATTATGTTAGTAAGGACCCGTATGTTTTTAAGAAAACAACTTTTAATACCCTTTAAAATCTGAATCGGTCAGACCTTTGGGTATTTAGAGTGTTTGTTTTTTTTCTTTCAGTTAAGAGCTTAAAAACTCTGATTAGGTCTTAAATTTTGAAATTGAACACTTTTTCTTAAAAAGGCGTAAATTTAGTAATAACAAAAAAACTGACAAAGAGATACAAAACACCAATCCACTCAACCAACTTTTATGTAAGGAGAAAAAAAAAGCAAATGAAAATACTAGATCCAAAAATGGTGAAAACCATAAAATAAAAGACGACGAAAAATACCGTAACGGAGGCAAAAAAAATGTGTTGAACAAGACAAAGGTTAACCACCTAGATTCAGGGGCGGAGCCAGGATTGAGGATCAGGTTCACCAAATGACATAAAATCCATCAACAGTGGTATAAGTTCATGATAAAAGTTGTAGAAGCTTTATACAAGTTACTAGGGTTTAGCAACCACATGTATTGGTAACCCACAATGGTGTTTCGAAACAAACAACAAAGCCAACCAACAAGGGATGTCCGATAAATGAGGGGGAGGGGGGGGGGGAACATAAGTTCTTCACCGTTTCCTAATGTTTTTAACCTAACCCTAAGAGCGTCTTTAACATTTTTTTTGCCATCATATGGTTTCAACCTCACTAAGGAGCCGTTTACCAAATAACTGGGCCAACGTTTACCGAGTCACTTACTTTACCGGGTAAGTCTTACAAGGAATGAGAATCTTGCCATATATGACCAAGAATCTTACTCGATAAGTGAAGATGGTGACATCTACGCAGTTATCGGTTAGTGTTTAAAGAGTAAAAGATGTTACCAACAACCTTAATATGTCATAGTGATAGCCGGTAATCTTACCAAATAAGGTAAGTGAGTATAGTAACTACTAACTGGTAAGCAACTACCCAATTAACGATTGTTAGATGGTTTCTAAAAGTGTTAAAGCAACAACACCTATAGTTTTAAGGAGAACATCAAACATTTTGTATTTGGAGCTACAATTTAGTAAGTCATGAACAACTACATCGTATTCTTAAATCCTATGTGGACCTTAATAGGTGATGCATTTTTTTTATTAACCTGGATATCCAACCTGCAATGCGAGCCGACTAATCCCAGTGAGACAACCTGCTTTGCAGATAGCCCGGAGTCACCGCATTTGAACTTCTGTGACCACAAGGGGTTCTTTATTTCTCTTTGGATTTGAACCTGGGACGTCCTTGTGCTTTTGACCTTTGGAGCCAAGTTCAAACCAATCAGGCATCACACTTGTGGTTGGTGATGCAAATTTGAAATGCAAATGGGTAATACAACAAGAAGACCAAGAGTATTTTGTGAGAGGGGAGAATAAATGCAGATGGATAAGAAATACTGACAAATAAAAGTTAATCACTATGGGGGGCATGTGCACCTTCTGGTGCTAACGTGGCTCCGTCATTGTTTGGACTCAACATCAATCCACCCAATAAATATAAAACGTTTTGCACGATTAAATGATCATTGGTAGAAATTAAGTTGAATATCGAAAGCCAAGCCAATCTACGAAGGAACCCAATATGAGAAACCACCTTGTTGTGATATGCCTAAGTCAGATACTTACGTGCCATTTGGTTCATAAAAAAATATATCTAACGATTTTATTAAAAGACTTGTAATATAAGAAATATTGAATGAAATTTAATATAGTTTTATCATACATTTTATTGATATAAGATGAAAATATAATTTGTTTTTGTCTGTTTGAATTTTCGTTTTGTTGACGTAAAAATAGAAAGCTGAAACAACCAAAAAAGAAGTTTGATTACACATAATATATTCATACATTAAAAAAAGGAAAAACTAAAAACCCATGAAATAACAAATGAAAATACATAATAATATTATGTGGTGTTTGTTTTTTAAGATGTGTTGAAGTCCGAAGTCTTATTTCACTTATAATTTATAAGAGGTGGTGTTGAAGTCTGAAATCTGAATCAGTCAGACTGTTTGTTTTTACATCTGAAGTTTGAAATTTGAATCAATATAAACACGAACAAAGTCTCATAACGACTAGAACCAATATTCATTTTGCATTAATTGTGTCGCCATCATTCCCTTTCTCGTTGGTTTGATTATACTCATAAAATAACTCATATATAGGAGAGATCGATTTGCAGAGATCGTTTTGCAAAGATTGATTTGAATAGATCGATAGCTCAAGACCGAGCGAGAGAACAATATGGTGTCCAAATCGTATGATGTGGATAGATAGGTATGATTTGGTAGCTGGAGATCAAACAAGAGAGGGAGAGATCCATATGATGTCCTCATCCTCATGTGTGAATAAGAGCCCATTAAGGGTTTAGACTACCACTTAAAAATTTAGATGATTATAAGAGCTTTTCAGATCTTATTTAAAAAAAAAATCAAACGATCTGAAAATAAAAACATCTAACTGATTCAGACTTAAGAGGTATTAAGAGTTTTTTTCCAAAAAACAAACAAGCCCTTAAATGTCAAATTAAAAATAATAAAATGATCGTTTTAGTGTAATATCTTTTGTTTAAATTTAGATTATATTTCATCTTTTTTCCAATTAAAAAATAGGAGATTTAAAAATGAAGTTGAGTGAAATTAGTTCAGGATGTTAAACTTTTTTCAATCGGGCTGTGGACCCATAGACATTGAGATTGATGAGACTCAGGTGAGAAAGCGCGTATACTTGAAGGAAGGCGGAATATTTAACCGGCGCATATTAGCTTAGTTGCGCTTAATAGGCCGGTTTGCCTTCCTCTATGGCTGGGAGCAGCTCCGAAAAGCGAGGCCTACTGAAATAAGTAAAGTCTGATTGACTAGTGGAAGGAAGCGAGCGCCTAATGCTCGTTCGCTTAGCAAGTCTCTAATTAGTCTTCCCGGGTGCCGGCGCTTAAGGCCTTACTTTCAACTCGGTCCCCCGATTGAGTTGCAAAAACTTTTGGATAAGTATCCTACATCTGTACCGATGAGTCTGGACACTTTCAAATTGTATGCTTGTAATATAGGGTTGGGTGTAAGACCATTATGTTTTTGTGAGACCCGCAAGTCCATTTTCTTACACTTGAAACTTCACAGCAAACGTTATGAATGTAAAAAAAAAAAGTCAAACATTTACAGCAAAAACACTATGAAAGTTACCTTCATAGCGTTTTGCTGTAAAGTTTCACGGGTCTCACAAAAACATGTTGGTTTCACGTGATCTCAAGTCTAATAATATATATGCCCAATAATATTTAGTATAATATACTTCAATCTTTTAATAGAAAATATAAAAAAAGTAAAATGATTCAAATAACCGAAATAGTTTATTTTACGAAATTAAGAAAAAGAAACTAAAAACATCACAAAGATGTACCACAAAGGATCCGTAGTTATTTAAAAAAGGATTCAAGATGTTATAACAGATAAATCATGTGAACCAAACATGTAATTTACTTTTTATTTTTTAAATATCGAATAAATTATAATAGAAGAAAATTCTTATATATTGAAAGTTAAAACATGATTGTGTATTTTATGTCAATTTAATAATATTTTTTTACAGATTATTTATAATTAGAACGTTAAAACTGATCATTTAAGCTTTAATAAATAACATAATGAATTAAAAACCCTTTATCAAAAGAATAAATAACTTATTGATTTTTCTATGATGACAACAGGCGATTGATGGGGGTGGGGTTGTGACGACGACAAAATAGTGGTGGGTGTAGGGCAACAACAAGGGGGCGGTGGTTGTGACGACAACAAAACGGTGGTAGGGGTTGAGGGCATGTCAATAACAATAATAGCATTAGTCAGTCATAACAAGGGTAGTGAGTGGGGAGTGTTATGCTAATGAACAATTCATTCATCAATTTGCGGAATATAAAGAAATATAAGGGGGTGTTTGGTTCATGGAATTTGATGGAATTGGAAGGAATTGGAAAGAATTGAAATGTCCAAATCTTTGATCAAATTCCAAATCCCATGTTTGGTTCACATAATAGATGTGAATGAATCATTTCAATTCCAATCAATTCCATCCAATTCCTTAATTAATTGATTTTACAATTCCACTGCATATACCATGGTTTTCAAATCCAATCCGACAAATTCCTTAGCCCTCATCCATTCATCGACGTTGTATATCGATTTGCTCTGTTATGCTATGGTCGATCTCTTTTGCTCGATCTCGTTTAAAAACTAAGAATGACAACGGGCCAGGTTCGGGCCGGTTATTGGTATCCCCGTCCCAGAAACCGATAACTAAAACCGTCCCCATGACCGCCCTGATCCCCGTCGGGGATCTTATCGGGTCCCGCGGTTTCCCCGATCCCCGTTGGGGAATTTGTGAAGGTAAAAATCCTCTTTTTCCC